AAAATTTCAGCACTTTTTTTAAGAATTTTTACATTGACTTTACATCATAAACAATGGAAATTAGTAAGTTTCTTTGTTTTAGAAAATTTCCGAAATTAAACAGTGGAAAATTTTACAAAAAGTCACACAAACCTTAAATTCAAAATTAAAAAAAATTTATAATCAATATTTAAAAAACCACAATTTTTTAAATCTAAAAAAAATCATACTTCAATTTTTTATTTTATTTATTAATTTTTTTGCACACTCGAAAACTGAAGAAGTTCTAGGACCTGAAGAAAACACAACTAAAACTGAATACTAAAATATATTATATATATTTATTAATATATATATATATAATATAATATATTTTAGTATTCAGTTTTAGTTGTGTTTTCTTCAGGTCCTAGAACTTCTTCAGTTTTCGAGTGTGCAAAAAAATTAATAAATAAAATAAAAAATTGAAGTATGATTTTTTTTAGATTTAAAAAATTGTGGTTTTTTAAATATTGATTATAAATTTTTTTTAATTTTGAATTTAAGGTTTGTGTGACTTTTTGTAAAATTTTCCACTGTTTAATTTCGGAAATTTTCTAAAACAAAGAAACTTACTAATTTCCATTGTTTATGATGTAAAGTCAATGTAAAAATTCTTAAAAAAAGTGCTGAAATTTTAGATCTTTTTATTTTTTGTGTTCCACATTACAACATTTGATCGAGGACGTCCGTTTTTTCGCGGCCGATTTGGTATGGAAAGTCCCATATATATAAGATATACATAAGATTATTGAGTAGGTAGAAAAAAAGGCATTTTTAAAACATACCATTACTTTTGTAAAAAAACACCGCAGTACTTGTTAAAAGAAATCAAATCAAGAAATAAGTGACAAATAAAATATCGCACTAACCAATATCGGAATTATTAAACACCTAAATTGATAAACTGATGACTGACTGGGCTTTATTTATTATTTATTGGCATGCAAAATACCAATTAAATTATTGGATTACATTTCGAAACGGTTTTTTAGCAAATACAAACATAAAAACATTATCAAATGTATTTGTTTTTTTATTTATTTTAACTGGCAATGGCGTTTTTAACAATAATGACAGGTGTTCTTATATTATACAGGTTGTCTCGTTAATAATGGTATATGGTAGATTTCTGGGGTCAAAAAAAGACAATTTAACCCATTATGATAAAATGTTTCTCCCTAAATAGTATAATATAATAATAATATAATATATTATAATGTATCAATTTTCATAAACGCGATTTTTTCACAGCCGTTAAAAAAGGTTAATTTTTTTAAATGCGTTTAAAAACGTCACATTCGATTTGTTTACCTAGTAAGTGCGAATATATTTTTTTACATTGACGCAAATGTAACATTGCCGCACTAGGGTGTGAATTCATTAATGAACAGTAGGTAAAGGTCAATTTAATTTTAACAAAACGATGCAACAAAAAATAAAATATTAATTTTGTTATTTCAATAAAGTTGTAGAAAAATTTTTGTAGAGATGCCCTCATGCGCAAAATTTGTTTATTACTTTCTAATGATTTTTTGTCATTCTCAATCATCAAGGTTTAAATAAACTTTTTACATATTATATGTAATAACTTATTTTCTTAATAAAATCTATAAAAAAGTTGTTTTCTTTTGTTAGCTCCATGTACAAACGTTTAAACTTTTATTCTCTGAAAATTTAAAAAACTCAAGTTTTAAAAATGTTAAAAATAAGTAGACAAAATCTTCTTAGAATTTACGTGGGATTATGTAGTTAAAATATTTTCCCACAGTCACCCTGTATAAAGAAAAAATAAAATATCTTATTAAAAAAGTAAATTACTTTTACCCAGAAATTATTGGCAAAAGACAACTTATTTTTACGCCTATATTTTAATTAATTAAATAAATATTTGCAATTAAGGAATTTTGTAAAATATAAATAAATAGAAAAATTGGATTAGTTTCGTCTAAATTTTTTGACATTTTCAATGAAATATATCCTTGAGCGGAGCATACGCATAAATATAGTGCTGTTCTGAGAGGTGATTTTTGGACTTTCTGTGAAACCTAATTATTGTTACTTAGGTCATAAATAAAATTTTAGGAGCAAAATAAAAAAAAATTGACGGTTTGAATTGTTTTAATTAGCTGTTTATTATAAATATTATGCACTCTTTCAATTATTCAATTAAAACTAGCGATTTAATTTAAATATTTAATTGCATAACTAAAAAAAGGTTTTTACAATTTTTTTTATATATTTTACTGTTGTGTTGCAATAAACGTTCAAACTTTTAATCTAACTTTTGACATACATTTGTTCCCTTAATTAATATATCCTTAAAGGTTGCAATAAAACTTAGATCTATTAAAAATTTATTTGACGTTTGAATTGTCATTTTCAGTATACGTATTCTATAATTTTTGTTTAGTTTTTTAAAGTGTTTTTTATAAACAAAAATTAAAAATTGTAGTAAAAGTTACGAAGAAATTCATGAAATTTAACTAAGGACCGGTTTATTCATCTTTAGTAAAGTTTATCGGGCCGATAACTTTCATGCCTTGGCAATATCTAGTATCCAAAGAAATTATTCGTCAAATAAATCAAAAATGAATAAATCGGCCCTAAATAAAATGTGGCACCCTTAGAATTATTGTTTAATAAATGTATACTATACATTTAACCTTAAATTAAAACTTTAAACGTGTATTACAACAAAACAGTAAAAGATATAAAAAATGTTATAGACCTTTTTTTAGGAAATTAACTAATCTTTAATCTGATTTAAAAAGTTATTATAAGTTTTAATTGGAGAATTGAAAGTGTGCATACATATTTTTAATAAACATCCAATTAAAACAAAATTAACCGTAAAATTTTTTTTATTTTGCTCTTAAAATTTTAGTTATGACCTAATTAACAAGAATTTAAAAAAAATTAGGTTTCACAGAAAGTCCAAAAATCACCTCTCAGAACAGCACCGTGTAAAGCTTATACAAACTTATTAAATCACTCATAATCACAGATTATAATCTAAATTATACAGGGTGAGTCATTTAACTTTAAACTTTGAAATATCTCAGTTAGTACCTATGCATTTTACAAAAAAAAATATTTAAAATAAAAATTAAATGATTCGAGGGGGGAAATCAATCAGTACTAAAATTGGTCCTCATACTCTCCTCCTTATAGGGGGAACAAGGGGTAACTTTAAAATTTTCAATGGAACACTCTATTTTTTATTGCAGATTCGGATCATTCGACTAAAATAGGTAGATTTTGTCTAAAACATTTTTTCATATTTGTAATAGATGGCGCTGTAATGAAAAAAAATCAATTTTGTTCGATTTTTCTTCTGTATACGATTCTGAAATAATTTTTAAATAAAATACCTGGTTTTATTTTTTATATTTATTTATTTTTTTTTAATTGTAATTTGATTAGGTGCTCAAAATGGTGGCCTTCGACTTCAATCCATTTATTAATTGGCATTTCGTTTTAATATTCTGCTAACACTGCTCTGGGATATACCCAAATCTCTATATAACAGTTACTCTCGTGTGCTTGCATGAGGATTAGCGGGCGTTGCTGCTAATACATTATTTTCATTATTTCCCCCTGTGTCTGTTGCTCGACGAACTCTTTCTTTCGCTTGAACACTCCCGTTTGTAGTAAACTGCTTGACTTTACGGTGAAATGAAGTACGTGATCGAATTTTATCCGGAAAACGTTGAGCGTAGATATTAACAGCATCATCAAAATTCCTGCCTGCTTCTCCATAAATCAAAATCATTTATATTTATTCTTCGAACTAAATTTATTAATAATGCTAAACAATGTATAAATACTTTCTTTATACCTCAATAATAATTATTATTTATAACTAAATACCATTTTTTTATACAGGTATCTCAATTTGGATTAAATTAATTAATTGACAAAATAATGTTTTTTTAAACTTAAATGAGGTAATTTTTATTAAAAATAGTACAATAATCCTTTAAATTAAAGGATTTAATGCTGGCAGGTAAAAAGTGACCATGGTGCGCAATTGATAATTATCACTGAATAAAATAATGTATAAAACTTAAACCAAAGGAAACTTAAATATAAGTTAAATAATCGTGGGTACTTAAAAAATCAGATTTAATTTAATAAGATAATTAGTACCAAAGAAGGCGATATTTTCATAGAAAAATTATTGCAGAATCGTTTAGGTCGTATACAGAAGAAAAATCGAACAAAATTGATTTTTTTTCATTACAGCGCCATCTTTTAAAAATATGACAAAATCTACCTATTTTTAGTCTAATGATCCGAATCTGCCATGAAAAAATTGTGTTCCATTAGAAATTTTAAAGTTACCCCCTGTTTCCCCTATGAGGAGAGTATGAGGACCAATTTTAGTACTGATTGATTTTCTCCCTCAAATCATTTAATGTTAATTTTAAATCCTGTATTTACATTGCATGACGCGTTTGGGTTTGCTGTTTATTAATATTAAAAATCGTTTTAAACGTTGCGTTTCATCAAATTGACATTTTAATGCCTCTTTTGAGGCTTACAAGTGCGTTTGTAGGAACAAAACGTTTAAAATGATTATTAAACTGTATAAACAGCACAAACCCGAAACACGAGAGTTTTAAACAACATAAAAATGGCCGCCGTTAGAGTCTGTGCCACAGATTATAAAAGATGTCTGTGCAGTGAGTTCCCTAACTTTATGATTTTTAGTATTGCTTTGTTATCTACGGTATGCGCAAAACGAGATAGAACAGATGGAACAAACCACAATGGATTGTGGAACAGACAGCTGTCAGATTTTATTTCTATATTTTTAAAAAGTACCTCTACTAATTGGGTATTATTCGCATTATCTCTCGTATAATAATATACTTAAAACACTTTAAACTCAGAAAGAATTTTAGGACAACTTTGTATAACCTTATAATGTTTAGCAATCACCAAAATTCTTGGTAAAGAAAAACAATATTACTGACCTTGCTTAAAAACTGCTCCTCAGACTCCACAGAAGGGTCCAATCGACCCCTCTTCTTCCTGGGGACATCAGAACTGGAGTCTTGACCACTGGAAGGTGTACTGGCCAATTTTGTTTTACCCCCTTTTGTTATTTCACCTATAATAATATTTATAGCAATAATATCTTTACATTAATTTATATGTATAAGAGTTGGTGATTTTTTTTATTAAAACAAGAAAGCCCGTAAAAGTTTGAAGTTTGGTTGATTTTTAGTCGATTTTTGTATTTATACGAATTCTATGTTGACCTAATAAAAATTAGCTAATTTTTGTTAAAAAATACCTTTAAAATTAAGTAGTTTAGTAAATAATTGATATCAAAAGATTTCAAAACATAGTTTTGCATCTTCCTCGTTCAAAGACCAAGTTTTGCAAGTGAAAAGTGCAAATACCAAAAAATAACAATTAATCAGGTGATTGTTATGTCGTCACTTAATGCGTGTCCTAGCGACGTGATTGGTCTACAGCAAATACCGAGTTTTGCATCCGACAGGAAGAACAAATAGGTACCCAGTTTTGCATCTGCGTTAAGTTTATAAATGTATTTTATTCTACAAATATTAACTTATGTACCTGGTTTACTTAGGTATGCTGTGGGCAGTGCAGTTATGAACATAAATAGGATAAAATATATATTTTTTAAAAATTTGCTAAAACCGAGTTTTGCATCTAGTGTACTCAATTGCGTTATTTATTATTTATTTAAACTATTAAACTTTGTTTAAAACGTTAAGGAAATAACTTAATTAACAACAGAGTGCTTGCAGTTTCTTGATTTATATCGCCATATTATAATAATAATAATAATTATAATACTTTATTGCCCAACAGATTTACATCCAATAAATAAATAAAGTTTTTATTGCATATTGAGTACATATAAAACAATTATTAATAAAATACAAAATATACAAAAGGCCATCAACCGGGGTCCTTCAGCCAACAATAACATATATGTACACTGAACATAAAATAAAATAACATTTACACATTAATGATACTTTTGTAAAAGTAATCAGCATTCTTTAATAAAAAAGTTATAGAAGAACTATTAATCGTCACCTGAGAATTATAGTGTTCTATCTTGTTTTAAGTCTTAAAGATGCATATTGTTCTATATATAATAGAATTGGGGTACACTCAGAAAAATGTACATGCACTGATTATAAAACAAATTTTGTAAGCGATTAATAAAATAATATTATTTAACTTAAATTTAAAATTGTAATGGCTATAAAAAAATGTACCACCTAAGGTACCTTTTTTATTAAATTTTCAGTGTCTTATTGGGACAAAAACCTACGATTTGTCAAAGTAATAAGATTATTTTTATTTACAGAATAAACTTTTTTTACTGTTAATAAAATTCTTATTTACTATATGAAGCAGCAATGTTGAGCTTCTACAAAAAAAATGTTCATCCAACAAAGTAATAGTTGTTATCATATTGTTATGGCAATAAGAAATTCTTTATGTTTATATTAAATCTTTGTCGAACTTAAAATGATTTTGTCAAATCTATAGTTGTGTGTGAATTGCGCTTACATAAAGTAATGTGCAGTTGCTATAGTAAAATTTGTTCATTTTACTATGGCATATTTGTCTTCTTTAAATTACTATCGTTGTAATTCAAATTAATTTTATTTCAGTTAGAAAATCTTTGTTAATAGCTTATGTTAAGAAAAATAACAAAAACATTTTATTGTTATAAAAAGACTTTTTTAATATTTACTATTGTTTTGCAATGGTATCAAAATTTTTGTTATTTCCCTTAAAAAGGGGGGGAAAGGGCCAGCGGTGAACATAACTTATAATCCAGTCTGTGTTATAATCTTATTGATTTCACTTGTGCGAGTGAAGTGTGGTAAAATCAAGCATGATAAAAATATCAAAAAGTTCACTAAGAAAATTAAAATTCCGACGTTTTGTAACAGAAATATTTAAGGTCTATTCAATAAACGAAGCAGACTTGTTGTTTAAAAGTGAGTTCGTATTTTTTTATTTTATACATCATATAATATGAGTTAATTTTTTTGTTATAATAAATAATTTGTTTTAATGCCTTGCAATTATTTAAAAAAAAACTACCCAACACCTAACAGTAGGTTGAAAATTTGACCATTGTTACAATGAAAATAGTTTATTGAATTAACAATTAATTTGTTGTTAAATTTACATAAATTTTATTAATAAAATAAAAAAAGTCTTATTTTAAACGAAAAGGGATTTGTAAAATTTACAATATTTCTATGAATAATAACATTAGGGTTTCATTAATACTACAAAACGTTTTTGTAAACGGTATAGAACTGTTTTTTTGGACAAATAATAAAAACTGTATTTATCAATGCGTTTCTGCATCTGAAAGAGTGTTATTTTTATAAACATAACGTAAGTTTACTTTATAATTAATACAAATGCTATTACTGAAAGCAGCGTTTGTAGATAAATAATTTTTATAAAAATGATCTTTTTGCCGTAACAAAAGCAATTGTTGGACGAATAGGGATCTTTACTTTATTAAGACAAACTACTTTTTTTGTTATATTTATTAAAAAATTTGTAGAAATTGTACAGTTTAAGCCTTAAACTGTACAATTTCTACCCCAATTATATATAGATAGAACAATATTCATCTTTAAGACTTAAAACAAGACTAACTTCACTTTAAAAAAAAGCAGATAATTCTCAGGTAACGTAATGTCAATTTTTGAAGATATTTCATTACTATTTTTCATTATGACTTGGACTAAAGATTTCAACAAAACATTAGTATGGGCATTATCTGCCCTAAAAGTTAATTTAGTCCTAGAGTTTAAATGGGGAATATATTCATATACGAGTATATACAGATTAAACATAGATAATAACAACATACAGTTGATATTATTATGAAACAAGTCATACACATTTTTTCGAGTCTCCTATGAAAATTTGTTAGTAAATCATATTTCAAGAGCTCTCTCCAAAAATCAGCTCTATCGAATTTTGAAAATTCCAAATAATCAATGGCAAGTCTTTGATTTCGTTCGGAAATTAAAGGAGAAAACGTATGTGAAATTATAATAATATAATATCATTACATATAGGTAGTATATTATGTATCAAGTTTAATAAACGCCATTTCACGAATTTAATTTAAGCACGAGCACGTAATTTTCACCATTGCCCGTTACAGGGTTGGCATGATATATATCAATGATATATATCCGATATATATCATTGATATATATCATGATATTTATATCTTGATATATATCATGATATTTAAAAAAAATTAAAAATAGGTAATCGACCATCGATTTTTGGGTAAATGTTTAAATAACCACCAAAGAGAACAAGCATTTACTTATTTAAATAAAATTAATCCGGATTTCATTCCTTTTGTAATGGCGCTTTTAGCTGAATCTACACCATTTCCAAAATATGTATTTGGGCCTCAGTTTAGAAATACATCACCTATGATGTGGTGGAAAGGAATTATTATTGATGATACAACTTGGCCAAATAAACAAGGCTTTCTATCTCTATGTAAACAGCTGCTTACTGCAATTGCGGCTACCGCATCTCTTGAAAGAATGTTTTCATCATTTGGACTTGTGCAATCGAAACTACGTAATAGGCTTGGAAACGAAAAAGCTGGAAAATTGACGTTTTTATTTAAATACAAAAATCAGTCAAAAAAAAATAAAAATGAAAATATGGGTTGGATTTGGGAGAATTTAAAAACACAAGAATTATCGGGACCTTCTATCGAATCTGACGAATCCGATGATAATTTAGTCCGGTCAAATTAGACCAAAAAATAACAGTGAAGGTACATAAATTTACAACAGGCTGAAAATCAGTAAAATTGTTCAGAATATAATTATAAATAAAATTTTAAAGTTCCCCATCATTCCCCTGCATGGAAAAAATTTTATTCAAGGTCAAAGGTCAAAAAAATTAGTTTTTCGCGATTTTCAGCAAAACGGGAAGTTTTTTCACAAAAATTTTTCTGACAAAAATTGTAGATCATAAAATTGTCTATAAAAAATATATTAATACTTTTTTTCCTAAGAGCCACCGTTTCTGAGATATAACGATTCGAAAAGTTGTAATCGTCATAATATACATGAGTACGTCACGTATATACATCTCTAGAGTTTTAATATATGTTAAAATATTTTTCTATCGGTCATTTTCACTTACACTTAAAATATAAAATATACATACCTACATAAGTTATAACTATAAGAATATCAAGTGAAATAAAACCCAGTCCCTTAAGGAACTGGGTATAAATTAATTAATTTATACGCCATCGAGACAACATCTGTGACAGATGATCTGTCATCTGTCAACTTGACATCTGTCACCTGTCATCTGTCACCTGTCATTTGACCCTGTCATATGCCACCTGTCATTTGCCACCTTATCGATTTGATTTCGGGGATTTTAATTGGTTAACTTTTTTAAATACACAACAAAAATTAAACGGGCTTCTGGCCGATTAGTTTTCATTCGATGAAGCTCATCTTTTAGTATGTCAAACTTTGGTCTTTCACCTGTCGATTCGTGTATTTCGTTCGGCCAATTTCGAAAATTTTTCTCTCCCTAAAAACCGTTTAAATTTTTTTCGAAAAAAATAAAAAAAGATCGAAAAGTTTCCTGCGGAATATTTTTTTTTCCGTTGTCTGCTAGTCGTATATCCTTTTTTTTCTAAGCGCCGTAGCTCAGAGGCCGTTGAAGGTGGACACTCGAAATTTGATTCCTTTTTTCTGCCCACGAGACCTATACGCGGACCAAATTTTTCCGGTGTTGAAAAGGCCCAAGTCCACTTTTTTTCGATTTTTCCGTCAAATTTGGCACGTTCCGTTGTCTTCGCTTAACTTTCGAACGAGCAGAGATTTTTCGGCCAAACTCGAGGAAAAGGTGCTTCGGGACAAGAAGTTATCACCAACGGCATTCGATTTCTTCTTTCTATATACGGAGCTCCTAAGAAACTACCTGCTTTGATAAGTATCGATATGCATGTTTCGTTAAAAATACTAAAATAAAAAACAAGTTCAATTAGCTTGTCTTCCTCCAACCTCAGTTGCTGCTCATCAAAATCTTTTTCGGGTATATTACCAAGTTCAAGTGTGGCTTGGTTATCAGCTAGACCCTACAGACTGGGGTGGGAAGTTGGTCAACAACCCATTATAACCAGTTCAAACTTTACTCCCACCTGCGCCGGAAAAAATGCTGAACACAATTTTTTGCAACTGCAAAAAGGGAAGCAGTGCTAAATGTGGTTGCAAAAAAGTCGGACTGTTTTATTCTCTGGTATGTACGAATTGTCAAGGCCGGTCGTGCTCTAATGTTGAATCACCAACAGTGGAGGATTCATTTAATTCCAACGAGGTGACATGCGATACATCGCTACTAACGCAATTTACTTGTACCCAGGATGAAGATGAAGAAGAACAAGAAGAAGAAGAACAAGAACAAGTAGAAGAATAATAAGAAGAATTTAAATGTTACGAATCAGACTAATTAACTTCGGTACTTTTTTTTAATTTACATCGCTTTTATCTTTTCCAATCATTGCTAATTTCCGTTATTTTGCAATAGTTTCAAATTAAACAGGATCACAACTGACCCGTGGAATAGGCTACTGGGGAAACCACGTTAAAAAACGCGCTAAGTACACTACCTCATAGGTGGCGTGGAAACGTGTGCATATTATGACGATTAAAACTTTTACAACTTTTCGAATCGTTATATCTCAGAAACGGTGGCTCGTAGAAAAAAAGTTTTAATACATTTTTTATAGATAATTTTATGATCTACAATATTTGTCTGGGGTATTTTATGATAAAATTTACCGTTTTGCCGAAACTCCTAAGAAACTACCTGCTTTGATAAGTATCGATATGCATGTTTCGTTAAAAATACTAAAATAAAAAACAAGTTCAATTAGCTTGTCTTCCTCCAACCTCAGTTGCTGCTCATCAAAATCTTTTTCGGGTATATTACCAAGTTTCGCGAAAAATCATTTTTTTGACCTTTGACCTTGAATAAAAAATTTTCCATACAGGGGAATTATGGGGAACTTTAAAATTTTATTTATAATTATATTCTGAAGAATTTTACTAATTTTCAGCTTGTTGTAAATTTATGTACCTTCGAATGTCTAGATTGACCGGACTAATTTACCTATAATAAAGTTGTTATAAATGTGTTAGTTTTCTTGTTATAATATCACAAATTCCTAAATTTTATTTGGCTACTAATAGTACCTACTATAAACATTCTTAGATAAACAAATTATTTAAAAAAATAAATATCAAAACTTGATATATATCGGATATATATCGGATATATATCTGATATTTTGATATTTATATAAATATCATGATATTTGCCAACCTTGGCCCGTTATTATTTTAATTAAACTTCACCATTATTGAAATTTTAAAATGTTAAAATAACTTCAAAATATGATTATGTTAAGAAAATATTGTATTATTTGATTTTTTATTACTATAATATAAATAAAATATTATCACAAAGGATTACACACGGGAAAGGTACAAAAAGTGACAGTTGTATTTATTGGAATTCCCGTTAGAATTTTTAACTTGGGAATCTAACGACGTTATTATGTAGATATAAAAACAAATATGTTTTGAAAGTTTCACGTGTTTTATTTACTTATGACAATTGTTTCGTCACACAGTGACTTCTTCAGAATGAATAATAATAATATGGAGTTTCATCAAGTAAAGGTCGAAACAATCAAATAACTAACGACGTTAATATATCAAATTTTTCTGTGTAAATCAAAATTTATCCATTAAAAATGGACTAACAATCGATATAGACATCGATATAGACGCAGAGAAAATTTTTAACGCTTTATCAGTTAAATCTAGTTAAGTTTTTAAGTATTGAAACTAATTAATATTTTCATAATTTTGTATTGAGATATTACCTGGATCAGAGATTTGCCACAATCAAAGCGTGCCAAAAACTTGCAGGCGAGGTCAAGGAACAACGGACAAAGACAAAGCATCAGGATTATAGCCTAATAATCAAGCTAAGTAATTTTTCTAATTGCATGTCTTATCGAATAATCGTTAAATGTTTATATAAGCATTTCGCAATGTTGCCAAAAATGTCATCTGGCTTCAGAAATCAAACAGGTCCCTACACTGAGAAAAGTAAACTATTTCAAGTTTTAATTAAATGAACAGTTTTTGGTATATTCAATACGACCAATGCGCATAATTGTTTATTTAAAAGTCGAACGATACCTACAGTCTTAAAATTAAACTCGTACAGTTGTGAATATACATTTTTACTACTACAAAAATGTACAAAGACTTCAATAAAGCGGATCAGACAGTAAAATAGGAAAAATCTCTAATATAAGCACTCTGATTGTTTGTCTAAGAATTCTTTTTATTTGTCTCAAAAACTATAGTTTATAAATTTAAAAAAATAATAAGATAAAATTTCCGTAAGTGTAAGCGTAACAAACTCATTTTCTCAGAGTAGACAAATCATAAACAACCAAATTGAAAAAGGCGTAAGAGTAAATAAACCAAATCAAGCAAGAAGGCAAAAATTTAGATCATAATTATTTATGCATATACAATATTACCTATTCACACACAACACTTATGTGTTCTTATGTGTTGTGTGTGAATAGGTAATATTGTATATGCATTTAAGATTACAGCCATAAATCAAAGCCAAATAAACATAAGCTCAAAAAATACAAGAACATCACAGAAGATAAGAAGAACGACCCTCTCAATAGCCAATGCAGGCCATATGGCCGCATTCCAATTACATACACTACAGGGCCGGCTTTATCCATTTTGTATATTGGTATTTATATTAAATTAATTAATTAATTAATTAATAAATTAATTGATTGATTGGTTGATATTGGTATTAATTAGTATTAGTAATGGTATTGACTAATTAATATTTATATTAAATTTATTTATATTAAAATAAAATTGGAAATAAAGTAAGAATGCAAAGATATAAATTAAAGAAAACGGTATAAACACTAATTTAACAATAAAATAAATAAAGAATATATAATAAGGTGGGTAGCCGGTACTCGACAGGAGGAATATCCACCAAGAGAGAGGTGGATCTACCAGCCGGCGTAAAAACTTCGGATCCAACAAACACAGGTAATGCTAGCATTACAGCTGTGATTTGGCGGGATGCGCAGGAGAACGGAAAGGGGGTAAAATAACCCTGGGAGATTAGTGGAGGATAATGTCTTTGGGGCCTGCCATACATTCCCATACTCATACTCATAAGCATGGTTGTGAGCTTAAAAAACATTATAAATGCAAAGAAATTATTCCTATTGATCTTCTGAGATTGCATGACATTTACTTTCGTAAATATACTGGGTGCCTCAAAATTGGCAGCTTTAAAAGTTAAATAACTGCAAATTATGGGACACCCTGTATATATTTTTTCAAATTAGTTGGGTCTATTAATTTAATTTAATGAATTTAGACAACTGTATGTGAGTTATTTTTTCCCCAAATATTTGTATTACCTATGGGAGTACTTGCTCTGGAATCACCATCTTTCACTTCCTTATCAGACTTGGCATTCACAGATTTTTTGCCAGACTTCTTGGATTTACCGGGCTGTGCTGAGTGGGCTTTTTGCACCTCCTTCTGTTTGGCCACGTTTGCTTCATTGTATTTGAGCACTCTGCTTTCTGGAACCCATTCATCCCAGCTAAAACATCACACTATTAATACTATACACTTTTTGCCCTGTCAGTTGTTTATATAAAGTTATTCTAATGCTGTTTAGTCCTACATAAGATAATAGTAATTTACGTTTTTTTTGTTAAAAAACTCGTTTAAATTATATTGGAGGTCAAAGTTTGAAAAAAAAAATTCAGAATTTTAACTAACTAACAATAAATATGTTGTAGAATTTTTTCTGGTAACTTTTCTATTGTTTACATATTAATACAAAAAGCAATGTTTATTTACATTAGGGTGATTATTTTTTTGTAGCTCCCCAAGCAAAATGCATGTGCATTAGGGTGGTCCTTAATAAGGTTATTTTCAAATTTCTTTGTTCCCAGGGGCTCAAATGCTTCCAAATTAATAAAAAAAAATTCCCTGAAAATTTGAGCTCTTAATATTAACTCTAAGATAGTGCGCATTCCAAGCTAAGTTTCCTATGGAAATAACATAGGAAAAATTACTTTTGTTGTTTATAATTTTATAACTTGGGAACGAATAAATTAAAAATTATAAATCATACATATTTTTATAGAGAATTTAACGCTCTACAAAAAAGGTCTCGTATAATTTTTCCATAAGTCTATTTGTTTAAAAGTTATTTAACGTCAAAGTTTAATTTTCATATTATTATTAATAATATTAAGGCTTTTTTATGAGGCGCCGTTTGTGTCAAAATTAAAAGTGCTAAATAAACTTATTTTGTTTTATAAATAATTATATGCTTTACCAAATAATTTTTTTATAAAATTATTTTTTTATAATTTTTTTTTGTAAAAAATTTTATAAAATAATTTTTTATAAAATAATTATTTTATATTTTTTTTTTTGTAAAAAATTTTATAAAATAATTTTTTTATAAAATAATTTTTTTTTAAATTATTTTTTTATAAAATACGTTTTTTTTTAAATAATTTTTTTATAAAATAATTATTTTTTATAAAATTATTTTTTTATAAAATTATTTTCAATTCGAATCAAAAATTATTTAATAAAAGACGACGGGCGCATTTATAAATTAATTTTTACTGCAGCCATCTCTATTTGTTTGTAGACACTCGAGTAAACCCGAACGCCCCTCCCCAGATACAATTTTATCAATGATTTTATGACGGACTGGGCTTTTGTTTGACGCAATTTGGTGGAACGATTGAAAATAACAATTTATTATTTCATACAAAAATAATTTTTAAAATAAATTATTTTATAAAAAAATAATTTTATAAAAAAATAATTTTATAAAATTTTTTAGAAAAAACTTTTTTTTTTTTAATTATTTTGTAAAAAAATTATTTGGTAAAGCATATAATTAATTATTTATAAAACAAAATAAGTTTATTTAGCACTTTTAATTTTGACACAAACGGCGCCTCATTAAAAAGCCTTGATAATATTAATAATAATATGAAAATTAAACTTTGGCGTTGATAACTTTTAAACCAATAGACTAATGGAAAAATTATAAGAGACCTTTTTTGTAGAGCGTTAAATTCTCTATAAAAATATGTATGATTTATAATTTTTAATTTATTTGTTCCCAAGTTATAAAATTATAAACAACAAAAGTAATTTTTCCTATGTTATTTCCATAGGAAACTTAGATTGGAATGCGCACTATCTTAGAGTTAATATTAAGAGCTCAAATTTTCAGGGAATTTTTTTTTATCAATTTGGAAGTATTTGAGCCCATGGGAGCAAAGAAATTTGAAAATAACCTTATTAAGGACCACCCTAATGTGCATATCAAGAAAAAAATGCCCTTAACGTTTCAGCCCTTAATCTTACTCCTTAGTACTTTTATTTTGATTTTATAGTTTTCCCATTGAAATCACATAGGAAATTAGGGATTTTTTTTTAAATTTCCTATGGCTCGGCGGTATTTTACGCTAGGTACTACAATTTACATAAAGTTCACTTTTTTTATCTGGACAACGTTGCAAATTTAGGGTTTTGGTTGTCAAGTTGGTCGCATTGATTAAAACAAACTAAGCTAGTTATAAATCTAATTGTGGTTATGTATAAATTATTATAGGTTACATTGTGCAGTTGTCAAGTTGAGTTGTCGAAATTCGTAGTTAAAAATGCAATTAATTTGGCTTCGGTGGTGCTTGGATGAGTAAAATCATATAAAAAAAGTAGTTAAATATAGGTTGCTTTACGGCAAGAAAGTATTCCTAGCGAATAATAATCTTCGCTTTGAAAAGAATTTATATAAAAGAAATTAAAATTTTTAGTGAACGTAAATGTTGTCCAATGGTAAATAATGTGAAAATAATGTGTGATTTAATATTTATAAAACCAAATTCGTTACTTTTTTACTCCAAAGGCGATGTACTTTTTCTTCCATGGTGGCATTTGGCATAATTTCATCAAAATGAAGTTTTGCCATCAAAAGGGCTTTTACATTCGAATTCGTTGTTATTATTTTTGGCATAATTATCTTTTTATTTATAATTGACAAGTAAATTATCAATAGCACAGGCCGACAAAAATAAAATTTCTGTTTGGTGCATGGCCACCAACAACTTTTTAAGGGTAATTTAGGTACGCTGAATCCAAAAATGAATATCATTTTGCTCCATCAGCTATTGTTTTTGCGATGTAGAATAAAAACCATTTTTTTCGATATGCGCACATTCAAATTCTTATATATATTTTTTTAAACTTCTAATTTAAGCAAGGATAGTTGGGAATGTTGCTATGGGTCTTTATTAAACTAAAAAAAAATACCATATACATTGATAATGGTATTCGCTTTAAAAATCTTGCTTTCATCGAAAGAAAATCGATTTTTTAGCCAAAATTCGGATATTTTTAAAATTCAAAGTGATACAGCATGATTGAATTTTTGCCCGATTTAAATAAAATTTACCCCATTTGTAGCTCTATTTATCTACTTTATAGTGTTACAATTTCAATGCAATCAAAAATTGAATGAGAGTAGTGCTGCCGTGCTAAGGTAAACCCCAGTATCTGCAATATTAAATAAAAGATCATTTTCATTGTTAAAAACAATAAAAAGTATATTTTGTCCTTTATTATTTAATATTGCAGATACGGGGGTTTACTTTAGCACGGCAGAGTGTATTATAGTAGAGTATTGAGAGCAAAAATATATTTAAGCATTTGAATGTGCGCATATAAAAAAAATGGTTTTTTGTCTACATCGCAAAAACAAAAGCTGATTGAGCAAAATGATGGTCATTTTTGAATTCGGCGTACTCAAATTACCCTAAAAAAGTTGTTGTCTACCCTGCACCAAAATGGCCGTCGGCCAGTGTAATAAATATTATGTCAATTTGGCAGTGTCAAAGTATTTAATTAAATTCTTTAGCATAAGTACCATTTTTAAATACTAAAAATACTAAGTCAAACTGGCATAAGCCACCAACCTAACAAGAAAACACGAGTCCAGATAAAAAAAAATGAACTGTAGGTGCGAAACAACAATGACACAACTCAAAAATCACAGTTTTTGAGAAAACGCATTTTAAATTTGTTATTACTGTTTTCCATTAACCAAGCTGTGCTCAAAAAATAAAATCTGGGTTCAAATATTTTAAGGTGAATTTATGCTCACTTAAAATAAGAAATAAAAATAAAAAATAAGAAATAAAAATAAAAGTTAAAGGTTTATAATTGCTAACATCACTTTATGCTCACGAAAATAAGAAATAAAAAATAAGAAATAAAAATAAAAGTTGGCAATTTTCAACTTAAGATTCTTATTCTGCGTATTTTTGTGCGCAAAGGATTTATTTTCGTCATCAGCTGACAGGTTTTTGTTTCGCCCGGGAAATTCGCAAATACTTTTGTGTAATAGTTAATTCATAATTGTTGTGTTGTTTAATTACTGTTTGTACAATAATTAGTGTTTTTGGATTGTTTTTGTGTTTTTTTAATAGTTAATTCTTAATTGTTGTGTTGTTTAATTACTTTAAAAATTTCCCGTAACCCTGCGATTACGATTTAGCGGTCGAATGCTGTACCGCCTCGCAGCCCGTTTCTTACGAACAATTCTTTTTTGCAACAGTAAAAATGCTGTTGTAAGCAATAACATTTTTTTAATTCTAATTCTCATTTTTAAAAGATTACCACAGAACAAACCAACCAAAGAAACCAGAAACGAAGCATGGGGGGCCAGCTTTTTAAAGGAAATTGGCAACAAATTTTTGAGCGACATCTATCTTTTGCCATCTTGCTCATGCGCGTATCATTCTTGTCGGTGTGACTCATCGTAAAGTTTGACAGTTTGTTATGTGTGTTATGTAGTTTTCAACAATGGCCGATGTTGTTGTTTGAAATTGTGTGTTGTTTTGGTTTTTTTAAGGTAAGTTTAATTATTGTGGTAGGTGATAAACTTTTATAAAACTCCAGTTTTGAATTTCTAAACTAAATAAACCATTTAGTTAGTTATAGAAACAAATTGTTGAATCGTAAATTACTTAATTAATGCTTTGTTTTTTGTTTTCATACCTATGCATGTATATTTATAAATGTAGTTTTGTCATATTTGCGTTAATCCGGCTTTGATTTGAGCAACTTGTCCTCTCATCAACAGTTTTATCAGTATTTTTTCTTTCATATCCATCTTATAATTTTGTAAATAGGTATGATTATTTGCTCAAATCGAACCATACATTTGTTCCATGTTAATGAAATCATATTTTAATATTTATGCCTGTTTTTATTTATTTATTAATATTATTTTACACTAGTGTTCACATAATACAACAGGCTTTTGCTAAATTAGACCGCATTTGCTAATAGTAATGTTTAGTTAAGTAGGTATACACAAAGATAATAATAATATCTTTGGGTATACCTACAGTATATACTTAACTAAACATTACTATAGTATAGTTATTAAATGATGGTTAATTTTATTTGGAAATTGTTTAAGCGTTGAGTGAAGAAACACACCTTAATCAATGGTTTAAGGACTAACCAAGGAGAAACAGGATACAAGGATTGAGTAAACTCATCACTTAAAACATAAATAAGGTAAATTTTATTTTTAAAATTTAAAATTGTTTTTAAAATAAGATTTTTATAGGTTATATCCAATGAAATTATTCTGGAATGAAACTATCCATATTTTGGTCAATGTTTTGCCAGAGGGGTCCTGCTTAAAAACTATCCAGCTTACTTTCTAACTTTTGATCCACAATATAGAAAAATGTAGCAGATGCTAATCAAATTTAATCATATATCACTATTCTTCATAATTGGTTTAAATAAATATAAATTTATATTAATAACTAGGTATTAATATATATTTTTATTTATTTTTACTTAATTTAGTTTTTAGCATATGTTATTAACAAGGGGTTGTCCATAAAGTAGGTCACATGTTTAGGGGAAAGGCAGACCTGCCACCAGGGTCAAGACTGAAAATATTATAACATCATTGATTAATATAACATAATAATATAATTATGTGGGACATGAGGGGAGGGAGTCTGAAATTCTCCAAAAAGGTGTGATATACTTTATGGATGATCCCAATTGTTTATTTTAAGTATATTTTTATGTGGGATTCCACTTTTTAGTCTGACAAAATACTTATTTATATATAACATATAACCTATGTTAATAGATTTAACTGTAATGTTGCTATTTTTGTGTAATATATACAAGGTATTAAAAATGTATTAAATAAGATTTTTTGTCACTAAGAAAATTGACTGTTGTAAATGTTAATTAAGTATTTTTTTAGCATTATATCAGAGACTCTTTGATGAATGTGCACAAACGATGATCAAATTATATTACCTGATTTAATACTAATTAACTAAGTACCTATTTAAAAACTCATAATATCTTACAATGTATTTTTATTCAAAGGTTACTGAATGTCTTTATAATGTATAAAACAAATTGTTTTAAACAATTAATAGTTTATGTGTTAAAATTCGGCTCTTTAGGTTTTATTGTATTAAAATATACTAATATAATACTTATATTATCTTCAAGTAATTATTAAATCTCATTTTTGTTACAGAAAATCTAAAAATAACTTATTTATTTTACTAAAATAAAATCTAAACAGGCAAATTTATATAAAGTATGTAATGTAGTTAATTAACTACATTATGTGTAATAAACCATTAATTTAGGTTATATTGCCCTTCTATTTATGTATATATGTACCAATAAATGTTTATTTTAAATAATTTTGTATTTTTTAAATCAAAAATAAGTATTTTTAAATAATAACCTATTCAAATTTCGCGGGCTACGGAACCGCATCGAAAAACTTAAGATCAAGTAGGCCAGAGCGTGACCACCTCTTGTAAAATCGTTGTTGCCAATATTAGAATAGGAACTTTTAGTTCTATTATGTTCTGTGAAACGAAGGCTTTGGGAACTGTCAAACAATCAATTTTAACCTCACTTTTGCATATTTTTCTTATTTCTTATTTTTATTATTTTTCCGACATAAATGACAACAAATGAAACTATTCCTTATTTCCTATTTCTTATTTTTTATTTTTATTTCTTATTTCTTATTTTTAGTGAGCATAAATTCACCTTTATTGTTAAGGCATACTCTCTAAAAAACAGTAATAAGAAATTTAAAATGCGTTTTCTCAAAAACTGTGATTTTTGAGTTGTGTCATTGTTGTTTCGAATGAGTGACATGATTGGATGCTCTTTTAAAGAACTTGCAACAATTTTACTACAATTAATATATTTAGACCTGTATTTGTCACCAAAGTTATATTGCTTACAAGTTACCCAGAATTGAACAATAAATGATATTTTCATTTAATTGTTGTATTTCTATATAGAATAACAGGTACAAATTTATCTTTAAATGCTATGAAGTACATCACACAAATTCAAAACCCAAATGATGGCTTTACACAGATACAGCTGCTGCTGCAAAATATCCCCACTCTTTCAAGGCGTTGTGATGCACTGTATACATTTAGCGTGAAAATACGGTATACAGTCAATACAAGAATATTATGCATGTGCAATTGTTGTTTATCTATTTATTAGTAAGTTATAAATACAGAAAAAATATATTTTTTTTAAATTTATTCCACACTTTGACCGTTGATTCCAATTAAATGGGTGGTTTCACAAAAAAAAACGTAACAAACCTTTTTTGTGGAGCTGCAAATTTTCCACAAAAAATATGTATTGAGTGTTGCTATATGTTATTATTTTTTCTTGCTTTATTAAAATAAAAAAGTATCATCTTTTAGCCAGAATTAGAATTTCTTGTTTCAAAATTATTTGTAGGTTATAAACAATAGATTTATGCAATGTCCAAGCAGAAAAAGCCAATTTGAGAAATAATTGCACACTAATGTATGTAGCAACAGCTGTAATATCTTATAGTAAAAATAATAAAGCAAAATAAAACAGCTTCAGTTGGCATTCTTCACAGTTATATCCAGTTTAAATTGAAATTCTAATAAGTTATACCTGTTTAAAGCTTTTAAGATTGTATTGTCTAGCTAAAGGGGTAGACATGTGTGGTGTTATGCGTATTTGAAAGACAGCTATTTAGGTGTTTCTTTTAAATGACTAAGAGCTCTTAGTCATTTAAAAGAAACACCTAAATAGCTGTCTTTCAAATACCCATAACACCAGACAACCCCTTTAGCTAGACAATACAATCTTAAAAGCTTTAAACAGGTATAACTTATTAGAATTTCAATTTAAACTGGATATAAGTCTAGACTTTTAATTCACATAATAAAACGTGCTTAAATTTAGCTACAGTAAGATAGTTAGGGAAATACACAACCCACATTGTGGGGACATACAAAGAAACATATTTCGAACATGTACAGATTATCCTGTAGTGACTGTGCTACTAAAATTAACCCATTTACATTACTTACTTTTTGTTCCAGCCAGCATAATGTATAAGATATTTTATCTGTTTTTCCTTCGTTACCGTCGACTTCAAGCATTTTGCTTCGTATATAAGCGGCCCATGAAAACATAACACCTTTTCTCCTACAAATAATACGTTAATATTACACTTATAAGACGACTATACGACTTAAACTATCGTTACCTTCAGAGAATTTTAACTTAGGGGGCATCTCTTTAGTGGTAATGGTTGAAAGATTTGGTTTATACACCGGTAAACACAAAATTGAGCTGAAAACCCAGCTTTTCGAAATTTAATGTGGCTAGGGTGCTTTTATGACTGGCTTGGTAATACAACACTAGCATATCAGGTGATTTAAAAAATTTCATTAAATTATTTAAAACAAAATTGATAAGAAACAAATGTTTCTTTTATCCTAATGTATTTAAAAAAGATTTATTGTAAAAATAACTTTGGCACTTTAGCCACGATCTACCATAGACCTGTAAATAATAAGAAAATAAATGTTTGTGTTATGTTTAAAAACTAAAAATAAAATTTTTGAAATAACAATAAAAAAATATATTTTATTTTAAAACTTTGATGCAATAAATTGTTAATTTATCAAACCTATTTATATTCTATTTTATAAAACTATGGCTTATGTCAATTATTTTCTAACCTATATTTTAGCCGTCAAAACAAATTCTTTAAAAATTGGTTTTATATAGAAAATGGGTGAGAATTTGAAATTAAATTTATTAAACAAATTATATTGACATAAAATATTTGCAGAAAGCTCGGATTCTCCAAAGAGAAGCAAAAAAAGCAAATTTAAAAAACCAAAATCTGAAGAAAGCTCCCCTTCCAGCCAAATGCTTGTTATAGACGATACCTTTTCGCAAATAACGAAGGTTAAACCGTCGACCAGTAAGGCAATGCCTGTTGCAATTAACAGTAATAACAACAAAAAGAGGAAAAAAAGGGACAGTGCCTCTAGCGATGAAGAAAGATGGTTGACGGCTATTGAATCTGGAAAGCTTGAAGATGTCGATGATGAATTAAAGAAAATTAAGCCTAAAGATCCAGCTTTAATGACAGCTAGACAGAGGGCTATGTATGATAGGGGGGATGGAAATTGTACTACCAATACTCCTACCCTTATGTCTCTACCCACAGGATACAAGGTAATGATTTAGATGATAATTTTTAAAGAATGTTTATATGTATATATAGGGTGTCTTAAAAATGGTGCATAAATGCCGCATTTACTTCTATAATAATGCCTTTTTTTTAGGAAAAAGTAATGACTGCCGAAGCTATACAAAAAGCAGCAATAAAATCCCAAAAGCGAAAACAGTTGGCAGATGAGAAACGAGAAAAGGACAAAAAGAAAACAATGGAAAGACTGCTAAAAAAACAGGATTCTAAGGCTGCTAAACAAGCAAAAACGAGGTACACAAAAACATCAGTACCTGTTATAGTTTATAAACAAAATAATTATTTAACAAGCATAAGTTTGCCTGAAGGCATAGATTTCCCTCTTCAAATGCAAGTGGCTTTGGACCCCAACAAACCCAAATTATGTGAAATGGGTTGTGGGAATCTAAAAAAATATTCTTGCTCTCAAACGGGAGTCCCACTTTGTAGTTTAAGTTGTTACAAGAAAAACATTGCCAACATGATTTTATGATTGAAAATACCTTATGCAACTGTGTATTATATTAGTTTTAAGTTATATGTAAGATAATAAAACGTATTATTCATTTATAGATTTTTATTTTACCACAATAATCTTGTACATACAATAAAATGGAATACAAATTAACAAATACCTAAAATAAACATAATTTTTTGAATCTCTAAGAAACCTTTAATTTTTCTGATTCCGTTTCATTCTTATCCTTCTTCATCCAGGCACATTCGCAACTAAATTCGCATTTTTTGTCTGCTTCTTTGGTTTCTTCACCTTCAGTTTTCTTTTCCCAAGGATTCCAAAATTTTAGTAGAATTGGTTGGATGTAACGATGAAAAATGAAAAGAATTAAGGGAATTATGAAACAAGGCATACAACCTGCCATAATTATAATTAAATTACGTTCAAAACAATAAATAAATCCTTTTAAGTAAAATTATTATGTGGTAGAAATGACGTTTGATACGTCATTCGATTAAAGCCGGGTTTACGTAACAATAACAACAAGAGGATTATAATTTTTATTTTGCAACCATGGATGAAACGATAACTTATTGCAAGTTTTGTCTCGTGTTAATCAATTGCATATTTTTATGGTTTTTGTGCTAGGTTACCTAACTTAGATATACTTGTTCGAGGTGAATAAATAACTTTCAAAAGTAGTGTTTGTGGTTATGTTGTAATTGAAGCTTTAATATTTTTTTGGGGATGTTTGGTTTTGTAACTGTTGCAAGATTGGAGAATTATTGATAAATAATCGTGTTTGTTTATAATTCTACGAGTTTGCATTTTATGAGGAATAGTATATTATGATTAAATAAATAAAGTTTGCAAAGTGCAAAGTGGTTTATCCTGCTTTGAAAAATTGCCGAAAAAATTGATTGCGTTGCCGCATGTAGAGATAATTCTAAAATTAGGTTAACAAAATATATTTTTAACTGAGGACTATATGAAGCAGCTAACTAACGATGGTGTGTGCTCGAAGATGTGTGATTTTTAAATCATGTCATTGCAAGTAACTTTTGAAATAGCCCATGAGGCTTCGATTCGAAGCAAAAAAACCCAAAATGGATTCACACACGACTGGGAACTATATGTTCGAGGTGTAGATGGAGCAGATATCAGAAATTATGTTGACAAAGTTATTTTTCATTTACATGAAACCTTTCCAAACCCAAGAAGAGGTATAATATATATTGAGAATTTGTAAACAATTTATTTTAACTAACCAAAGTTAAATGCATGATATTAATATTGAGTACCTATTACTTTTAAACAGGTATTATAAGTTTTGGGTTTATTTTTTTGTGATATACATAAAGACAATATTTGTGACAATTGTTCCTATTGTAGTATATTTAGGTTATGAAATCCTTATTTTACTCTTAAATTTCAGTTGTAAAAAGTCCACCGTATACATTGAAAGAATCTGGATATGCTGGTTTTACTTTACCCATAGATGTTTACCTAAGAAATAATCAGGAACCAAAGAAAATCGAATTAAGTTATGATTTATATTTGCAAGAATCAGGCCCACCTGTTTCCAGAGTCCAAAAAGAAAAATACGTTTTTTCTAATGTTTCTGATGAGTTCAGAAGCAGGCTATTAAAAGGAGGAGCCACAATAGTGAGTTTTATATAATATAACTTTGGGTTATTTCAGTGGGAAATGGTGGGTAAATAGTTCTACTATAATATTTTAAAAGTTTAAATAAATAATGTATGAAATGAAATCGACTTTTGGATGAGAATTAATTATCAACTTTATGGATATGCTGGAAGTGGGGGGATTTAAACCCCCTCCAAATCTCAGTATTTTTAAACAAAAAAGTGAAACATTTATTTTTTAATTACCAATATTGTATTTTTTCGCCTCTCCTTGCTTCTCCTCCCCCTTATATGCTTAAACCCCCCTGTCAAAATTTGCACAGCATGCAGGTTAGAGATGTAAAAAAACGGTTTTTTTAGATGTCTAAAAAAACATGAAAAAAACCGTTTTTTTTGTTTTTTTTTTTTACAAATCCGCTACAATAAAGCATATTCTGTCAATAAATAACATCAATCTTAAAAAATTGAGTAATTTTTCAAAATGAAATTTTGAGTAAAATGTATATTAATAATAAATATACAATATATTACATTTTTCAATATTGAAAATTTTGACTGAGACTAAAAAGTTCTGATTTCTTATTATTTGGTAGTTACCACATAAGCAACCAATAGCAATTTAAACTTCTACACTAATAGAAAAAATTAAAAGGATGAAAAAAAATTGCGATTTTTCGGATAGCTGTATCTTCGTTAAAAATGGTCGTATTGGAGCCGTAAAAAAAGCAATTTGAAGCTTGAAGTTTTAAGTTTTTTAGATGAAAAACGTGCAACGCTCAATCCTAATGCCGGTTTTACACTAAACGAACAGTTGAGTTTGGGTTTTGTTTGTGTTTTTAAAAACTTGCAAATCAAAAACAAAACTGAAACAAACCCAAAACTCTTGTTTCCATCAAGCAAAATAAGTTTTGTTCGAGTTTTGTTTTTGTTTTCGGTCCTTTTCCACTAGTTGTCGTGATTATGTCAGAACACACTTTTTCAGTATCAACCAACATGTTTAGAGAAAAAGATTTTCTTATTCTTAGTTGTGGCTGGTTTATACTTCTTCGTGAATAACTTTTGAAGAATTAAATTTAGGCAAAAATGTTAAGAGACCTTTTTTGTAGAACATTAAATTTTCGACGTGAGCTTTTTTAAATATTCATTGATTCATTAGTTACAAAATTTCATATATTTTTCAAAAAAAAAATATGTGTATCTATTAAACTGATCCAACGTTACAAAACAAATTCTCTATCCTCTATCTATAAAATAGTATATTATAGACTAGGCGGAGAAAGCTCATATTATAGCAGAGCACACATTTCACTGCCGATGCGCCGCGGCGCGCCGCCGAGGCAGTAGATTGTGTGCGAGGTAATTAATAAGCTTTCGCCGCCGTGTATAGTATAAACTATTTTTTTTCAAGCTCTAAATTTCGATATTTTTTTGAAATTTTGTAACCTCATTTTTAGGTTAGGTTTAACTGTCAGACGACAAAATGTCACCATTATTGTTCGGCGGTCAATAATAATTTGACTTTTGAACTAGTAGTCACTACATTATTGTACTAGTTCAAAAGTCAAATTATTATTGACCGCCGAACAATAATGGTGACATTTTGTCGTCTGACAGTTAAACCTAACCTAAAAATGAGGTTACAACATTTTAAAAAACTACATTGTAGTATTTCTATATTGACTTATGAGGAATATAATATGAATATTATTATACACTTGGAAAAAATATGTTTTTTACTTACCTACCAATTTAGTATGAAATTCGTATCTATTCGTAACTAAATTGTAGTATTTCTATATAGACTTATGAGGAATATAATATGAATATTATTATACACTTGAAAAAAATATGTTTCTACTACTACTTACCTACCAATTTAGTATGAAATTCGTATCCAAACTAACAAAATAAAATAAAAGTCGAAAACAAAAAACACAACACGACCGTTTCCACTAAACAGACTCGAGTTTCAAAACACGACGAAACCTTTTGATGTTACCGCTTTCGAGCGGGACTCGAAAAACAAAACTCAAACTGTCGCAAAACACGCCAGTCTTCAAAAAGTTGCAGTTTTGTTTTATTCGACACGAGTTTGTGTTTTGTTTTTGTTTTGTCCGTTTGGTGGAAAACCGGCATAACGAATACCGTATTAAACAAATTCGAAATTTTTTTGGCTTTTTTTTTGGTCCACGGAATGTTCTGACTTATCCACCAATGAATAAATGTTCTACAAGAATTTGCTATTGTTTTTTTGAAAAAAAATACCATACTTTACATGAATTTGAAAAATCATGAAAAAAGTGCTTTTGGTAGCTTTTTGAAAAATCAAGCGCTGAATCAAAAATATTATAGGTAGTTACTTTTTTTAGTACCAAATCAAAACAAGCGCGCCCCTTTTTGGTCAATTCGGTGGTGGTGGCGCGTGCAAAGCGCGATACTGTATTTACATTTACTAAATGTCATTTAGTGGCTAATTTTAGTCCATGAACTGGACTGGAAACATAAAAAATTAGAAAAAGAACCAAGTAAATTATGAAAAAAAAACATTTGAAAAAAAAACAATGGAAAAAAAACAAAAAAAACGGACAATTTTTTTCAAATCGCATCTCTAATGCTGGTTCTGGTATTAATAAAAAAATTAGGAAATAACCTATTAAACCACAACTAAGTTTATACCAGCTGGTATGTATACCAATATCTCAGTTATTAGACATGGGACCCACACCAAATTTATAATAGTTTATAATGACATTAAATAAACATGTTCGGCACAAACAGAATTTAAATTGAAGTTTGCGAAACAATATATAATTCAAATTAAAGTGGTGCAATTTATTATCTACTATAATTTATCAACAAATTTAAAATTTTATTTAAAAAATTCAAATATTAGGTACAGGTTTTATACCATTTTAAATATTTTTTTATTTTAATAAATATATTTTACCTCCACTCCATGGAGTTAAAGAAATAATGTAATAATAATAATGTAATGTAATATTTATACAGGGTGTTTTTTAAGTAACTTCAGGACGCAATTCCTTACAATATTTTAAGAAAGTTCATAGGTATAAACATAAACTCCTGGACAAAATTAACGCAACATCAAAAAATTTGCCACATTTTTTATGATATTTTTTTATTGAATTTATGATCCGATTTGAATGATTTTTTTTTGCATTGTAGGTTGGTTCCTTGACAATGTCATAATTTTCGCTGTTTATGATAAAAAGTTCATTTTCGATTTATACCGGGTGTAATAAAAATGTAATGTTTTTTTCCGAAAATTCGTATCACCCTGTGGAGTATACTAGCAACCGAAACTAATAGCAGTTGACATTAAACGGTAGGTTCATATTTCGCCAACATTTTCTTTTTTGGTTTACTTCATTATCTCTGTTATTAAAGGAGATACGCTGTTTTATAGCATAACATGTTTTTATAGACTTTATTATTCAAAACATTAATTGTTAAATGTTTTCAAGTAGGCTATGGAAAATTCGCCATACTTATAACAACTGTTCGAAAACTGCTTATTAAACGTTCGTTTCGTATTTTAATCTTGAAAAATGAATCGTCTAAAAAAATTTTCGACAGAAGAAGCAGTAAGAGACTTAACTTTGGTGGATGAGGGCTATTCGATGTCATCACTTACCGTATAATGTTAACTGCTATAGGTTTCGGTTGCTAGTATACTCCACATTGTGATACGAATTTTCGGAAAAAATCATTACATTTTTATTACACCCGGTATAAATCGAAAATGAACTTTTTATCATAAACAGCGAAAATTATAACATTGTCAAGGCACCAACCTACAATTCAAAAAAAAATCATTCAAATCGGACCCTAAATTAAAAAAATAAGTAGCATAAAAAATGTGACAAATTTATAATGTTGCGTTATTTTTGTCCAGGAGTTTATTAAGCTCATAATAAGTTGTGTGAATGTTTAAAATGAAATTAGCTAGTTAGCTATTAAGCTCTGATTCTTAATATAATTTTAAGAAAAAAGTTCATATAAACGTAAAAAATTAATAATAATAAGAAATTGTGTCCTAAAGTTACATACCATACTTAGAAAACAAACTGTATACACAGATCCTAAATAATTTGATTTTATTAAGCTTTCTTAGTTTCAAGTTGATTAGTTTGGCAACTATACTATAAAACACTGTTATACAATTATTGTTATTTTTTTAAATCAAAAAAATTATATCAAAAGGTCAAATGATTAAAAAAAAACTTTTTTGCTTACACCATTTCCCCCCACCATATTATGCACATTTAACTCAAATAACAACCCCACTTTTTTCACCAGTTGTAGTACATTTTTCCAAGTAGACAATACCCCATAAGTAGGGTTTAGTAAACATAGTTTTTAATACAATTATTTACAAATTACAAGTACGAATTTGTTATTGTTTGTTATCCTAGGCTTTAGTTTTTTGTGTTGTGGCTTTCAGTGATGATAAAGTTGCCTTTACTTTGTTTGCTGATGATACGACTGTGTTTCTCTACAAAAAAGGTCTATATTAATTTTTGCATAAATATTGTGGTTTCAGAGATAATTTAGATAATTTCGATTTTATCTAAAAATATCCATTTTTATAACTGAAATCGTAATTATCCTTGAAACTATAATATTTGTGGAATAATTGAAATGTATGTTTTTTGTAGACAATTAAATTTAAGAACTTAATTTAAAAAAAATGCCTTCCCACATATTTTTTTTCCTCAAAGATTAATATTGTTGCCAACACCACATTTATTTTGAAAAAATCGGATATTTGACCCACTCTAATAGACATATTGAGTTTGTTTTCAGAAAATTATCAACATATATGTAATAATAAACATATCAACATATATGTAATAATAAACAAATCTGCCTGAAAAAGTTTTAGTGTCTTTTTACCATCAATCTATCATAATATGGGGTCATAAAAATATAATTTTTATGCAGAAAAAATGTATTACGAATTATAACACAGTTCACCAGCATAATGCAAGATTTTGAAATAATTTAAGTGTAAAATCAAAAAAAAAAATTGTAAAGATTATTAAAAAGATTATCAAATTTAACTTCCAATTAAAATTAAATGTTTAGATTATTATACATTAAGGTTGTATTTAATAGAACTTTTGTGGTGAAAAGCATTTTACAATATATCTAGATGAGTTTTTTAGTGAGGTTTTGTTGTAGTTTATCATAACTACTGTCCTAAAATAAGTTTATTTGTTTTATTATTATTTCCTGTATTTGACGTTGTACTTCCTATTGGTTTAACACTAATAAAGATTATTAGTATTGTTGTTATAACATAAAAAAATATTTATTAATTTTGATTATAGGTTAATTCAAATACACAAGAAGAAACCCGACATTCTTCATTGGAAGACAAGAACCAAATGATGAGTAAGCCAAAGTTTAGTGCACCAGATGTGAAAAAACCCAAAATGAAGGCTGAGGCAAATTTCCTTAATTTGTTTGGCACTCCTTTTCACAAGTCCGATTCCAAGATACTTTCTACTGAACCTGTCAAATCAAAGGATTTTAACAAGGGGTCCACTTCAAAACCCGAAAAAAGTAAGTTTTGTTAAAACATGTTTTTTTTTATCATTGTATTTCTTATAACTATATACATTATTTTAAGCCCATAAGCTAGCTATTGCCTATTTTAAAATTATTTAAATTTGAAATAACACATTTCCTTAGACCAGATATCTTTTTTGTTAAAAATCACATAAATTAAGTAATTTTGAATGTAAAAAATCTTCTATTATGATGGTTTGAGTTTATTAAAATATATTTATGCTAATAGCCACACTATTTTTAACTACAAAGAGAGGTTTAGGGAAGGGTTTTAAAATTTCCGGAAAAATTGAGCCGGCCCACAGACCTAGGTCTGTGAGCCGGCCGAAAAAAACCGAAAACAATTTAATTTAATTCTCAATGTTTAGTTTTATTTTTTCTTCTGTAAGGATATTTTTTTTTAATTAAAATAAGTTGTTGATTGCTGCTTTTTTTTAAATAGGTATGTTTATTTCCCAAAAAAATTAAATTTTTTCCAAAAAATACAATTTTTCCAAGGCCAGGAAAAAAATTTTTAGCAAATTTTTAGTCATTTTCCTACTGTTATTCATATTTTATGGCCTATCTTTAGTATTCTATTTCATGCACTGAGAAATTTGACAATTTCCGAGGTATTTTTATCAATTGATTTCATATTTAATTATTTGAACAACATTGAATTTGAATAAAAAAAAAATATTTAAAATTAAACTGCATTTCATAATTTTAAATAAACTTTTTTAATTCAAATTCGTTGTTTAATAAATTATTTAAATAATTAAACTTAAAATCTATTAAATATTTTTGTTTGAATTTATCAAAATTACCTTATTGTAGAGAGCAATTTGGTTTAGCCTATAGGGGGCAAATTTGTAAATCCGCCTCTGCTTGGAAGTCATTCCTTGTCTGGAACTTTTTTTATGTATGTACAGGGTGTCCCAAATTGGTTGTCCGTATAGGCTATCTCAGTAAATATAAATGCTAGAAAAAATTCGACCACGCATCCCCGTCGTCTTTTTTAAAGATAACTCGGATGATGTCTATTTTCTCGATTCGCATTTGTTTAGGAGATATACCTATTTTTCAATTTTTTTCAATTTTTTCCAATTTTGACAAATGCTTGTAGCTTCGTTAATATTTGAGTTACGAATACAGGTTTAAAATGTTATGTAGACACTTTTTATCACAGAATTCATTAGTGTCGACAGATTTTTTTTTAGCTCTTTTAGGTTAAGAGATATGACCCTATACGGACAACCAATTTGGGACACCCTGTACATTAGGATGTTTCAAAATAAGGCAATATATTTCTTTTTTCAAATTCATGTGAAATTCTCTTCACTTATGCTAAAAAAAAATCTGTCAAAATTTGAGCTCTTAATATTAATTTTAAAAGGTCCATCATCGAATTTAAAGTTTTCCCATTGATTTAACATGGAAAAATAGTTTTTTAAGATTTATTTCACCTGCATGCTATGTAGAACTATTTATTTGATAAACAATCACTGGTCCTTTTTTAGTATTAAATTATCTACAAAAAATCTTACGAGTCCAGTCTGTAGATTCAACTGTTTAATTTTTATAAACGTTGAAACGTATATATTAAAAAAAAATTGAAATTTAAACCTTAATAATTTATTTCAGTACCTATTTCAAAACTGTTTTGAAGCGAAGTATACAATTTTATTTGCAGTCAAAAGCTGGATCATGAAATTAAAAATATCGTAACAGTTAAGCTATTTTAGCTTAAATTCAGCGATTTATTGAGTGTCTTGAAGAATCTTGGTACGTTATTTATAGAGCTTCAAGTTTCCTGCAAAATTGTCCCTAAACTTTTTTTCCTACAGTAAATATTATAGTAATATATTATGCAGAATAATGAAAATAGGATTTTAGACACTTATAACTTTTGAAATGTAGGTGATAAAAAAAATTGTTTGAAACCAACTTGTAGAGCATTAAAAGATCTTTAAAATTGCTAACTTTTTCTTCTACGATTAGTACTTTAGCTGTTAAATGTAAAAATATCAATTTTTTTTAGAATTTATACGTTTCAGCGTTAATAAAAAAGAAATAGTTGAATCTACAAATTGGATTTTTTGTAGATAATTTAATGCTAAAAAAAAGTTGTACATAGCATGCAGGCGAAATAAATCTTAAAAACTATTTTTCCATGTTAAATCAATGGAAAAACTTTAAATTAATATTAAGAGCTCAAATTTTGACAGAATTTTTTTTTCAGCATAAGTGACAAGAATTTGAAAAAAGAAAAATATTGCCTTAATTTGAAACACCTAATGTACAGTTACGGAAAGAAGTAATGTCCATTTGAATGCTTCATTGTAATTGTTCGGAGGCGTTCGGAAATAGTCAACATCTGCCTCTTAAAATTTATTTAAAAATATGTCCATATTTAGAATTTACTACCTGCTCGTATTGAATTAATTATTTTGGATATATTACATATTTAAGTGTATTTTTATTAAATCGTTAATTTTTTATATATTTTTGTATAGTTTTATAAACATTTATTCTAAGAAAAAACTTTTAATAACAACTTTTTAGGCCATAAATAATATTAATATAATTATCAAGTTGTAGTTTTTTAAAACTTACTTTACATTTTTCAGAACTAGCAATGATTCAATCCACTATTCTACATCAAAGGAGTAAAAAACACATTTTATTTGTTGCACTTTTACGTGTTAAAATTAAAAACATATATTTAAAATTTTTATACTTCGTATATTTTTAAATTAAATATACTAGGATTTATCAAAAAATGTTTAATATAATTATAATATAAAAGTTAACATACCTATAAAACTATAACATACATATAAAAACTATAAAATATATATATTATATAAATATATTTAATATATTATATAAATATATTTAATATATTATATAAATATATTTAATAAAAATAAAAATGCACATTAATTCTTCATATTTATTTATTGCTCTTTTATTATGTGTAGATTAATATGCATTTTTATTTTTATTTATTTTTATTAAAATATTATTTAATTATTAGACCTCTACAAAAAAAATCGAATATTTATTTTTAAAGTACCTCAAAAATATTGTTCAGAATCTCAAAAAAATGGTCCTGTTAAAATGTAAGCTCTTAATATTACATTTATAGGTCCTACATCGGGAATTTTTATTTCCCATTAAAATAATATGAGATTTTTTAAAATAATTTAAAATTCGTTAACGGATTAGTTGAATTTATAAAAAAATTCAAATTTTCAAACTTTTTCAGCGAAACAAAATTTATAGTAAAATTTAGAAGGACCCTTTTTTAGGAAAATATTATCTAAAACCATAAGCAAAGAAAGCGGCCTTTTTATTTAAAAAGAAATGATAAATAATTACATTAATAATTATAGTTAAAGCATGGTTTGGACCCAATTTGGTCAAATATTATATTATCATTTAAAAATAGTCTATGTGCCATGCAAAACGACTAAACAAATATTCTCAATATTATTTTTTGTATTTTAAAGATGAATGGATTTTTATTGATTTCTCACAATTTTGTGTAATACTATGTTTTTTATACTCCAATTAAGTAATTTTCATTGATAACAAAATTTTTTATAACCTCACTTTTCTCCGATTTTAAAGATCATTATAGTCGCCCCTCGTATATATAAATATATCTGACACCTGTCAACCTTACTTTTTTCTAATTTAAAATCCTATTGGTTCAAATAACAGTGAATATTGAAATAAGCCAATCACTGATGCCTAACAACGTGAATAATGAGTTCATTATTCAAGTTGATAGGCCGGGCGGTTATATTGGTTACCATTATTTACGAAAAAAAAACAAAAAATGTCAATAATATCCAATAGAAGTAGAAAAACGTATTAATAGTGCATTTCTTTTTATAAGCACAAAATGCATTTTAGTTTATAATTTAATGGCTTTAATTTACATAGTTTTGTTATCTATGGTAAGAATAAATATTTTAATTTAAATTGCCCAGGTAACAAAAAATCGCCTAAAAAGGTAAATAAATTAAAGAGGGTTATTAACAATTTTATTTGCAAAATTATGCAAAAATTTATTATTATATTAGTATTAAATGTTTAAGTTTCATTTAAATATATTATTTTATAATATATACTTTATTTAAAAAGTTATACAGGGTGTCCGGGAAAAGGAAGTCAATCCGTTAACCATATATTCTTTGAGTTAAAACAATAAGACTTTCATAATACCATTTTTCAATTTAGAGCTTCATGTTCGATATACAGGGCGACAAAGTTTAAAATTTAAAACTGATTTTTTTTAATAATTCGAGTAATTGATAAGATATTAAGTTCAAATTCGGTACACTACTTCAACATAAATAGATACATTTTTTGAGACCAACAAAACAAAAAACAATTGTCAAATAATCAAAATAAGGGGGGTCCAGGACTCACTGACTCCCCCTATTTTTAGTAAGTGCGCCAATGACTTCCAAACGGTATTTTTTCAGGTAATCATTTATTGTTAAAAAAAAATTGTCTATTATAAAATTTTGATAAAATGATTTGTTTTAGAGATAATTTGTAAAGTATGGGTCAGTCCATATCAAATCAACCAAAGGTTCTTCCCCCACCATCTCCGATTTTGATTATTTTTGGTTAATTTGTTTACCTCACTAAAAAACTCAAAAATCCCATATATGGATTTTTTTCGATGGGTGGTTTTTGTTTTATTGATTTTTGAAAATCAAAAAATTCCGATAAATTTGGGTTTTGCAAGTTCTTACAAAAATAGCGATATCTCGTAAACTATTAAAAGTAGAATGGTGAGTGATGGCTTATTTTAAAGGCCTATTAGAGACCTTTTTTATGATACATTACATGACCTAAACTTTTTCAAAAAAAAAATTAAATTTCAAAAATTTGATATGGATTGACCCATACTTTACAAATTATCTCTAAAACAAATCATTTTATAAGAGACAAAAATTTTTCAACAATAAATGATTACCTGAAAAAATACCGTTTGGAAGTCATTGGCGCACGTAGTAAAAAATAGGGGGACTCCCCTATTTTGATTATTTGACAATTGTTTTTTGTTTTGTTGGTCTCAAAAAATGTAACTATTTATGTTGAAGTAGTGTACCGAATATAAACTTAATATCTTATCAATTACTTGAATTATTAAAAAAAATCAGTTTTAAATTTCAAACTTTGTTGCCCTGTATATCGAACATGAAGCTCTAAATTGAAAAATGGTGTTATGAAAGTCTTATTGTTTTAACTCAAAGAATATAAGGTTAACGGATTGACCTCCTTTTCCCGGACACGCTGTAGAACATATATTATATTTAAATTATTTCAGTCAATATTATTCCTTAAATATTTAATTATTGCATAAAAGCTTAAAAGTGAAATAAAATTTGCGTAGAAAGAATGGTAAATAGTAGGTAGGTAGAATTATTGAGTTTAAAAATAGATATGTTAATTTTATTAGCAAAACCCGAATGCCTCCGAACAATTACAATGGAGCATTCAAATGGACATTACTTTTTTCCGTAACTGTACATAGATGTATGAAAAGGTTATATCTTACAAATTTTCATTAATGTTCGGTCAAGTCAAAGCCTGTCAATGTGTATTTAAAACTATTTTTATGTTTAGGTTCTGAAAAAGTGAAATCCAAAAGTCCTCACAAGGACAAGGACAGGGACAAACACAAAGAAAAAAAGGACGACTCGGAGAAGAAATCGCGCGAGGAGAAAAAGAGCAAGGACAAAACCAAAGACAAGGAGAGAAGCAAAGATAAATCTTCGAAATCCAAGGAGCGCGAAAAATCGCCGCAAAGAGCAAGAAGCCCGTCGCCGAGGAGATCCCCGAAAAGGCCCTCCACTCCGCCGCTGCCGAAAGAGAAGAAGGAGAAGGATTCGAGCAAGGATAAGGACAGGGATAGGGGGGATAAGGAGAAGCATAGGAGCAAGGAGGAGAAGAAGGCGAAGAAGGAGAAGCGGGAGCACAAGGAGAACAAGCCGAAGGGCGATGGCGAGAAAGAGAAGGAGCATAAGAGCAAGGAGAACAAGGATTTGATCAAGGCCAAAGAGGTCCAGAAGGAGAGGGAGGTTGCTTCTTCTAATATGATGCAGATGGCAGCACATCAAAGAGTAAGTAGATACAGATTTACCAATATATAAAAAAACAATACTCATACCAAACTAATTAATTTTTAAATGTTTCTTCTTGTTAACATATAACATTAATATTTCTTTGTTTTATACAATTATCTTGGTATACTATTGATTGTTAAAGTATATACTAATTTAATCAGTTTTAACAGTTTTTTAGTGTCTCAAAAGTTCTTGTCATTTTTTTTTTAAATTTATTTATTTACCCAAAAAGACCAAAGGTCCATAACATTTTAATATTATTTCGTATATTTTTTTGATATTATTTTAGAAATGCATAGTTTTTTTTTTATTTCATATTTTTATTTTACTTTTTGGAATATTTTAAATTATTTTTTTTATAAAGAATCTGATAGTTTCGGATTTTAGATTTTTTTGGCAAAATTTACTTATTCTAAGTAAAAAATTGTTTGGTTAAATTTTGTTAGTGAATTAATTGTCTACAAAAAAGGTTCTTATGAATTATATCATATATAATATAATATTGCAATTCCGGACATAAATGCGAAAGGGTCTCACCAATTATCGCATAAATATTGCAGTTACAAAAAGTTATACAAAAGTTTTAAAGATAAATGCGATTTTTAATTTTTTTAACAATTTTTTTAACAAAAAAAGGAAAGAAGGTAGGATTTTATATTACTTTTACATGTAATCTGTTAGAAAATGTAATTGTCTACAAAAAAGTCGCTATCAATTATGACGTAAATTTTGTAATTTCACAGATAATCTGGATTTTATACCATTTTTTTTTATTTTTTTTTGACAAAATTTAATTATTTTAAGTAAACAATTGTTTTGATTAAATTTTGTTGAAAAATTGTCTACAAAAAAGGTCTTACCAATTATCGCATAAATATTGCAGTTTCAGAGATAAAAGCGATTTTATCTTAAATTGTTATTTTTTAACAAAAAAAGATAAAAAAGGTAGGATTTTATATTACTTTCTGTTATGAATTTTAATTATCTACAAAAAAGGCCCCTATCAATTTTGACTTAAATATTGTAATTTCCCAGATAATCTCGATTTTTCCCAAAATTGTTTTGGTAAATTTTGCTGGTAAATTTAATTGCCTTTAAAAAAGGGCATTACCAATTATCGCATATAAAAGCGGTCTTAGAGATAAATGCGATTTTATCTTAAAGTTGTCATTTTTGTAACAAAAAAAATGTTTTTTTGATTAAATTTTGTTGGAAAATTGTCTACAAAAAAGGTCTTACCAATTATCGAATAAATATTGCAGTTTTAGAAATAAAAGCGATTTTATCTTAAATTGTTTTTTTTTTACAAAAAAAGTTAAAGAAAAAAGGTAGGATTTTATATTACTTTCTGTTATGAAATTTAATTGTCTACAAAAAATGTCTCTATCAATGTTGACGTAAATATTGTTATTTCGCAGATAATGGCGATTTTACTATTTTTATTTTTAGTAAATTTAATAGTCTACAAAAAAGGGTCTTATTATTCCATAAATATTGCAGTTTTAGAGATAAATGCGATTTAATCTTAAAATTTTTAACATAAATAAGTAAAAGAAGGTGTTTTTTTTTTACTAGTAATCTTTTACAAAATTTAATTGTCTACTATCAATTTTGAACTAAATATAGTAATTTCCCAGATAATCGAGATTTTTCCCAAAATTGTAATTTTTGACAAAATTTACCTATTTTATATATAAATAAAATAAAGCAGTTTTAGAGGTAAATGCGATTTTAAAATTGTAATTTTTTTAACAAAAAAAGTAAAAAAGTTAAGATTTCATATTACTTTTAGGCATCTTTTAGGAAATTTAATTGTCTAGAAAAAAGGTCCCTAAAATTATAATTTTGCAGATAATCGCGATTTTATCCCAAAATGTTTTTAACAAAATTTACCTATTTTTAAAACATTGTTTAGATATATTTTGTTGGTTAATTTAATTGTCTTTAAAAAGGGCCTTACCAATGATCGCATAAATATAGCGGTTTTAGAGATAAATACGATTTTATCTTAAAGTTGTATATGAATTATTATGGCAAGCCGTTTTAGTTTTTATTACACATGGCTATCAAGTCTCATTTTAATTCGACTTGATTTCTATGAGACATTAGATAATTGAAATTATATGTATTTTCCTTAAGGGAAATTACATTTTTATTATAATTTCAAAATTGAATGCATATTTTCTTTACAAATAGTAAAAATAATGCATTTGTTGTATTTATTTCCATTGGTTTTTTAAATATTGTCCTTAACGTGAAAGCAATTTTCGTTAACAGAAATTTTATTAATTTTACCAATTATAATTTTAATGCAAATTATTTTTACTGTTTTAGTTTTTTGGAGCAATTTTATGACACATTAAAAGGATTTTATTTTAATTCAATTTTATTAAAATAATGCATTTGTTGTATTTATTTCCATTGGTTTTTTAAATATTGTCCTTAACGTGAAAGCAATTTTCGTTAACAGAAATTTTATTAATTTTACCAATTATAATTTTAATGCAAATTATTTTTACTGTTTTAGTTTTTTGGAGCAATTTTATGACACATTAAAAGGATTTTATTTTAATTCAATTTTATTAAAGTAGCTTCTGACTTGGATACAATGTTACATTTTATTTATGTTAGACCAGCTGGTCTAAGCCTAGGCTAAGTATTAAAATAAAACGTATTAAAATTACTATTACGAATATAAATGCATTTGTCCTTAAAGATATAGTTTTATACTTTCCTAAATGACATAAAAATTAAAAACATTTTAATTTGAAATACTCATTGAAATGTTGTCCCGAATAAAATTTAGAACCGCAATATATAGAGTATAACAATATTTAAAGAACCAGAAAATAACATCGAATTAAAATGAGACTTGATGATCATATGTACAAAAAATAGCCCAAATACTTTTATTTTTAACTAAACAAAAATTAACTTCTATTTCCGTTAAGGGAAATTACAATTCCCTTAACGAAAATGTTATTTCCCTTAACGGAAATGCTATTTCCCTTAACAGAAATTACATTTCCCTTAAGAGAAATTAGTGGCGCTATCTGTGGTGAAGGTGCCGAAGGTTCCACCGCTTACAGAGTTCTGCCAAGTTTGGTTGGGATGCCAGAATCTTTCATTTTGTTTGAATGCAACAAATATGACACAATTAACAATAATGAATAATATTACTACTGCAGTTTGCTATTTACTACTTCTTTTCGTTTTAATAACCTTTATTAGAAACGTCAAAACACACCTTAAACATGCCACACAAAATTCGATTCGAATGATGTGATTCCGAAGTCGATTCGGAGTGTTTCGTTTTCTCGAGTAGTACCCATAATTATTGATATTACTATTATTTTAACATTATCAATAACAATTTTTTGAAAATTCGATAATTTTGTCAATATTGTTCGATAATTTCACTTTCATCTGGCAACACTGGTGGGTGATATTTTGTGGGTGGATGTGAACAGGTGTAACGGTTGGTTTTTAAAGGTAACATTCATAAAAAATCTTTTTACTAATAAATCTTTTGTAAAATCACAATGCAATAATTTCATATTATAGAATTTTGATAAAATTAACTATTTGAACTTCAGCCGTCCTCTCATAGATGGCGCCAATTTCCCTTAACGGATATGCTATTTCCGTTAAGGGAAATACAATTTCTCTTAACAGAAATGATATTTCCCTTAAGGGAAATTGTATTTCCGTTAACGGAAATGCATTTAAATTCTTAATTATAATAAAAACTAAATAATTTTTATTATTATTTCAAATGAAAATGAACTGTTTTAGTATTTTTATTACAATTTCGAATGTAAATCATCCTCTACATCTAATCTTTTCAATTTAATGTGCCCAGAATTTCAATTCTTATTAAAAAAGGAATTTCATTTATAATTTGTAATTAAAATGTTTTTCCCCTTAAGGAAAATACATATAATTTAAATTATCTAATGTCTCATGGAAATCAAGACGAATTAAAATGAGACTTGATAGCCATGTGTAATAAAAACTAAAACGGCTTGCCATAAATTATTGCATAAATATTGAAGTTTCAGAGAAAATTGTGATTTTTTTTTACAAAATTGACCTATTTTATTAGTTATATTTGTTGCATACTTAAATATTTTGTTAGCAAATTTATTTTCCATAAATATTGTAGTTTTAGATCTCTGGAATCACAATATTTATCTAATCGCCATTTTATTTTAAAATTGTAATTTTTGTGACAAAACTAAAAATTAATAAGTAAAAAAATAATTTGTCTAATTTTGGTCGTTAACTTGACTCAATAAATTTCCTATTACTACTACCTACCTACTCTCCAAAAATTAATTAATCAAAAATTACTATTACTGCCCTACTATGGAGAAAGGCAGTAACTGCTAAACAAGAAATTTGTAGGAAATTAGCTTAAACTACATTTTTATAAAAAGCAGTAGGTTTTTAATTACTTTTTTTAACTTATGAGATATTTACTGCCTTTCTGTGTTGAATTCGGTTACAAAATGTCCATAGCTTTACCATAACACAAGAAAACGCATTTTGCATTTTTTTGTAGTTACTGCCTTTCTCCATAGTAGGGCAGATTAGTAAGTAAAATGCATACTATCTGAGATATTTCAAAGTTTCAAGTTAAATGACTCACCCTGTATAATATTTGTTAAATATTTTTATTTTCCTACTCTTGTACCTACTATGGAATCAGATATTCTTTTTGGGTTTAATAAATAAATAAAAAAAACTAATTTAAATGAAATATTTGGTAACACATATTATAAATAAATAAATAAATCTCAAAGAAAAATATCAAATCAAAGACGACGACCCCCAAAATTCAAATTTTCAAAGTTATATATGATTATTTCGGTTTTGGGAATATGTGTTATCACTTTTTACAGTCATTTAGGGACACTTTGTATAAATATTTTTCTTTTATGAAATTATTTAATTTTTACATTTTGTTAAAAAAACTAATTTAAATTAATTATTTGGAAATACATATTACAGGGCTCCCACACCTCCTAAAATTCTCCTAAAATTGCCATCAATCTCCTAAAACTCCTAAAAATTAAATATAAGTAGGCCAACTTGACTGCGTTTAATTAAGGTAGTTTTGCTAAAAAATTTCTTTTTTAAAAAGTAATTTAAAAAATATATATTTTTGGGTTCTAGTTTATTAAATTCTTTTTAAAATGATATATGTATCACAACCTACATTTTTCTTAAAAAACAACAAAATATACCATAAAACAAAATCCATGTAGTAGCTTCTAGACTTCTGCAAAATTGTCATTTTTAGCCATATTTCGTTAATTTTCGACAAAAATATACCGTATATATCAAACAAAAGGATTTTTAATTTTCTTTTAAATGATACCTAAAATAGTAAACAATCTAAAGAATGTTGTAACAATAACATTACAATTATTGTTAGTTATTAACTAAACTGTTAATTTTTTTTTTCAAAATATAAATATAACATCATTAAACTTTGGCCTACTTTTTTAGCCATATCTATCGACGCTTTTTTTTAAATAAAATTAAAAGTGTGGTGAAATTTCTACTTGTAGATATATACAAAAGTAGTAATTTTACCTCACTTTTCATTTTATTAAAAAAAACTCGTCGAGCGATTTGGCTAAAAAATTAGTCAATTTAATTAATTTGCACAAAAGAAGTGATATTTATTTATATTTTTGTTAAAAAGAATTACTTATTTTTTTCTTATTTTTTAAGTATAGTGTGGAGTTGTTTTTATTTAATTGAATAAATTCATTTTCATACTTTTTTCTCCTAAAATTCTCCAAAAAACCTCCTAAATTCCTAAATAAAATTTGTAATTTAACCGTGGGAGCCCTGATATTAGTTTTTCAATTTTAATTTTCCAGCCTGAAAAGAAGGAAAAACCCAAAGAAAAAGATCAAATCAAAGACGACGATCGGCCGGAAAAGGTCGAGAAAATCCGGGCTGAGCGATCGTCGGAAAAGTCGGAGGAAAAAGTGAAGCACAAGCACAAGAAAAAGGACAAACACAAGGACAAGCAGCGCGGCGGCGAGGAAAAGTCGCACAAGTCCGAGAAAAAGTCGGAAAAGTGTCACAAGGAAAACGGGCGCGAATCGAGCCTCGGCCAGCCCCGCGAAACCGACAGCTTGTTCGGCAGCAGCCCGAAGAGCGACTCCACGCCCGAAATCAAGTCCGAAAGGCCCCTCAACAACACGAACACCATCATGGCGTCCTTGGTCGACGATTCCTCCAGCAGTTCCAAGCACAGCAGCCGGCCGCCGTCGCCTATGCCGCCGCCGCCGCCCACACTACCACCAGGTAAGGTGATCATTCCAAATAGTTAGGGAGCTGGTGGCAGAAATTTTTAAGTCATTTGCTGGCGTGGCAGAAGTTGAAAATATTGAAGTTTGGATTATAAAAGTCACTAATGACAACTTCTGCCATACCATTATTGCTGCAATATTAATTAGTAGGTAATAGTCCAGTCATCTAGGCATTTCACCTCGGAATCTAACGGAATAAGCTGAATTTTTGTACAAACCTTTATTTTAGCATTGCAAATGTTGTCTCAAAAGTCACATATGCCAACGTGTGAGCGGCCTTAGATATTCAAGGTCAAAGGTCGCAAAAAACAATTTTTTGAGAATATATACTTTTCTCTGCCTCCTTTCGTATTTGCATTTATTATACAAGTTGTAGAGAATAAAATTCTCTACAAATTTTGTTTAAAACATTTTTGTATACGTCTAATCGTTTTTGAGATAGAGTGTGGAGCGCTCATCCATACGTACCTTTAGCGCAAGGTAAATCATAAAACCCAATCTATTATACCGTTTTTTAAATTAATTATTTATTAAATATTACTTAAATAACAATTTAATCGATAGCCTTTTGGTTTTTCCAATAAATATATTTACTACTACTAACAATTTAATACACAGGGCCGGCCCGACGTTTTTTGCCGCCCCGGGCGAAGATATTTTTGCCGCCACCTTGTTATTCGGCAGAAATAGTGGCAAAAGTAGTTTAACGTAATTATTTTTTAGTTTTTTATGCTTTAGAATCACCAATAGGTAAGGCAATATAAAGTCTTACGTCGCAAAAAAGAAAAAAAACTATGATTTTAATATAGAAATTTAAATATTATTTAAATAACGAAATGTGCGATAAATTTGTAATAAATCGCATTTATTTCTTTAAAACACTGATTTTTCTGTAATATAAACTAAATAGAATCGCTTATTTGACAGGTTTTGCCCAACAAATTATTAATGTTAATTTTATCGAACGCGAAAATATTTTTTTAAAAAGGTTAGTCACCCGCGGGGTTCAAAGCCACCCGTGTTTACGGTATGCAATATTATTAAATTATAGTATATTTATTATACCATCACTCGATGGTTTTTTTTGCAAGAATTTGGAAAATGTTGCTGCTAGAACTCGATTTTCCGCCTCACGCGCACTTTTTTGGTGTCTACAAAAAGCTCCTGAATCTTTTTTGCGTTTTTCAGACATTTTAAACTTCTAATTATAATTAGATAATTATCAAACTACCTTAGTAATTCACTGATTTTACAATGCACGATCGTGAAATATTTTTCAATTAATTGTCAATTGTCAAACACAGTAAAGAAAACTACAGGATATGATTGAAGAAACAAATAAAAGAGGGCCCCAGCGTCGTCTTCCGAGAGCGCCTCTATTAAATCATTTGTAACAAAGATATTTCTCGAGCTTAATACTGCAAAAAATCGCCAATCGAAATTTTTGTATTAGTTCATTGAAATTTATTATCATTAACACATCGTAAAAATGCCGCCCCCCCCCCCCATTGTGCCGCTCCGGGCGGTTGCCCGGTTCGCCCGTACCTCGGGCCGGCCCTGTTAATACATTATAATATAATATAATATAATATATTATTATATTATTATTATATTATATTTATTTTTATATATTTTTTTAAAACAAATAGTCAATAAATATTACTTACTTTTGACATACAAATAATTAAATAATGAAGTGAATCATTCTAAATATATTCTAATGTTATTCTAATTAATGATAAATGCATTTTAAGAAGAAAAGACGTTAAATGAATTTGCCTTGAATATGTCTCTGGTCATCCATACGTACCTTTAGCGCAAGGTAAATCATAAAACCCAATCTATTATACCGTTTTTTAAATTAATTATTTATTAAATATTACTTAAATAACAATTTAATACATTATAATATAATATAATATATTATTATATTATTATTATATTATATTTATTTTTATATATTTTTTTAAAACAAATAGTCAATAAATATTACTTAGTTTTGACATACAAATAATTAAATAATGAAGTGAATCATTCTAAATATATTCTAATGTTATTCTAATTAATGATAAATGCATTTTAAGAAGAAAAGAAGTTAAATGAATTTGCCTTGAATATGTCTCTGGTCATCCATACGTACCTTTAGCGCAAGGTAAATCATAAAACCCAATCTATTATACCGTTTTTTAAATTAATTATTTATTAAATATTACTTAAATAACAATTTAATACATTATAATATAATATAATATAATATAATATATTATTATATTATTATTATATTATATTTATTTTTATATATTTTTTTAAAACAAATAGTCAATAAATATTACTTACTTTTGACATACAAATAATTAAATAATGAAGTGAATCATTCTAAATATATTCTAATGTTATTCTAATTAATGATAAATGCATTTTAAGAAGAAAAGACGTTAAATGAATTTGCCTTGAATATGTCTCTAGTCATCCATACGTACCTTTAGCGCAAGGTAAATCATAAAACCCAATCTATTATACCGTTTTTTAAATTAATTATTTATTAAATATTACTTAAATAACAATTTAATACATTATAATATAATATAATATATTATTATATTATTATTATATTATATTTATTTTTATATATTTTTTTAAAACAAATAGTCAATAAATATTACTTAGTTTTGACATACAAATAATTAAATAATGAAGTGAATCATTCTAAATATATTCTAATGTTATTCTAATTAATGATAAATGCATTTTAAGAAGAAAAGAAGTGAAATGAATTTGCCTTGAATATGTCTCTGGTCATCCATACGTACCTTTAGCGCAAGGTAAATCATAAAACCCAATCTATTATACCGTTTTTTAAATTAATTATTTATTAAATATTACTTAAATAACAATTTAATACATTATAATATAATATAATATAATATATTATTATATTATTATTATATTATATTTATTTTTATATATTTTTTTAAAACAAATAGTCAATAAATATTACTTACTTTTGACATACAAATAATTAAATAATGAAGTGAATCATTCTAAATATATTCTAATGTTATTCTAATTAATGATAAATGCATTTTAAGAAGAAAAGACGTTAAATGAATTTGCCTTGAATATGTCTCTGGTCATCTCTTGGATCCAGATTTTACTTTTAAAATAACAGACCTGGAAATACTATAGTGGGCTTGCTATAAATAAAAAGGTTAGTTATACCTATATTTAAAGCAACTTGTGACCCTAGGTATAGGTCTCGGGTTGTGACAGGTAATATTCGTAATATTTTAAAGGTTAACATGGCTGATTTGTGTTTTATTTGTAATAAGTTACTTTCTGAAGGTGATTCTGTGACTTTTGTGCGCAGTATAAAGACTTTAAAAGAAGCAGTTATTAAGAGAAATAAACATAAACTACCTAAATACTTCTGTGAACGTTCATATTGAGTGTCGAAAATTGAACGCTATAGCGTACTATACTGCCGTGTTAAGCTTAAAGGTCGTATCTACAATATTTTGTAGTAAAGGACAGAAGAAAATTTTAATTTTTAAAAACAATAAAGAATAAAGTTTTTTCTTTACTACCACAAACTGCCGTTCGAAGACAAAACTTCATATCTGCAATATTTAGTAGTTAAGCAAAAAAGCCATTTTTTATCGTTTTTTAAAATTAAAATTTTCTTCTGTCCTTTACCTACTACAAAATATTGCAGATACGACCTTTAAGCTTAACACGGCAGTATAGTAAAATTGCAAAAACGTCGTTTTCTATAATAATCGTTTTCTATAATAAATGAAAATGCGATAGGAGGCAGAGACAACGAGATATTCTTAAAAAACTGATTTTTGCGACCTTTGACCTTGAATATCTAAGGCCGCTCACACGTTGACATATGTGACTTTTGAGACAACATTTGTAATGCTAAAATAAAGGTTTTCACAAAAATTCAGCTTATTCCGTTAGATTCCGAGGTTGATCCCTTTTTTTGACTAAGATGACTGTACTATAATTAAATATGTAAAAAAATAAAATGTCCTTAAGTCATTTGCTCGCGTCTGGCATTTTTTTTAACTTGAAGTCCCTAACAAGACTTTCAGATAAATATCATCGCCAGATGTGCCTCTGCATTAATGAGTATTTAATTTTTTTTGTTTAATTATGATATATAAAAATTTTAATTATTTGCTCGTCAATAAAATTTATACAAAATGTTAATTGGGTCATAAAAAAGCAAAAAATAAAAGTCTGCCATTTAATGTTTACTGCGATAATGAACGAAGAATTTTCAAAATTGTAAAAAAAAATTAATATTAAGGTATTTGCTCGTGTCTGGCTCTTGGTTAAATTATTCTGTTGTTTGTCAGAACTGTGAATATAACTATGCCAGACATGAGTATTGCTGATTTTTTATAGCCAGAACGCTTTTAGGTTAGGGTAGGTATTTTGAGAAAAGGCCATTACAAGCGTTTTTTTTTACTTATAACGTTAAAATTTGTAAGGTCATAAAATCATGTAATCTTTCGATTCCCCAAGTTTGATGACCCTCAGTTACACTTCCGTATGGGATTAGAGGTCAAACATATTTTTTTTTTATTACTTATTATTATTTTATTTTTTTACCTATTATGGGCAATTAAATACAGGCATTTTTTAAAATATATCCTTGAAATTTGAAATGAGGTCATGGGGTCATATGATCTTTTAACCCCCCAAGTTTGGTAACCCCCGTACAAACATGTTATTTTTATTTTATGTTAATTGAAATTAAAAAAAAAATTAATTGTTAAAAGGTCTAATAAAGTGCGAAAGTTTTCAAATTTTAAGATAACATTGGAGAAGATATAAGAATGATAAATCCGATTTTGCACCCTTTTCCGTTGACCAAATTATTGTTAACTTGGTAAAAATTATTAATACTTAAAAGAAAATACGCAGCGTCCAAGGTCTGGCAAATATTTTTTAGAATCTATGTTACTTTAAGGGGACAAAAATGAGCAATTTAAAATATTTTTCTGCAAAAAGCATACATACCTACAAAACGCATAATTTTGTTCTAATTTATGGGACAAAAATTAAAAAATAAGACATATCATTTAATAGAACATTTGTTTTTTACAAATTAACAATTGAAGACTACAAGGAAAAAACGTGCAAAGTCAATTTGGATATTTTTTGGTATGGTAGCTAAAAAAGCAAAGATAATGGTTTTATTTTTTTACACTTAACATTACTGTTTACCATAATGTTGTTTTAATAGAGTTCCTAAAAGCAGTTAGTTTTTTAAAAGGACCCAGAGATTACACAGTATTCTAGTTTAAAATTTCTCTTCTAAAAATTTAAGTTTTTTGACTTTGCACGTTTTTTCCTCAAAATGTTTTTTTAGTATCTATATAGCCAATTTAACATAAAACCTAAATGGCAGACACGAGGAAAATGACTATGGCTAGGTATTATTTTTTACAATTTTAAAAATTATTTGCAGCAAAAAGCAGAGACATACATGTCTGGCATTATTTTTTTTTATTTAGGGGACACAAATGTACAATTAAAAAAATAAGATAAAGACGAGCAAATCACTTAATAGAGCATTTGTTTTTTACATATTTAAAATTATTAAAAAAAAAACGCAGCGTCCTAGACGTCTGGCAAATGTTATTTTAGTATCAATATGGTCAATATAATATAAAACCTAAATGCCAGACACGAGCAAATGACTTAGGTTAGGTTTTATTTTTTACAATTTTAAAAATTACTTAAAAAAAGTAGCGATAGCTGAGCCTGCCACCTTATTTACTCAGTTCACAAGCATCAAAACTCTATTACATATAATTTCCAACGACGAGCAAATCATATACCGAAATTGCCACCAGCTCCCTAATTAAAATGAAAACACCAAAAATGAATTTAAAAGTGCGCTGCATGATTTTTATTTTAATGAAAAACCGTTGCCGTTTTAATTTTTAGTTACTTCATTTTTATTCGGCACCCTTTAGAAACCTGAAATCGTGTCATTTTCTTACTCTCTTATAAGAGGCTGAAACTTTTTTTCCGTGGCAATTATTGAAATGATTGTGATTTTATTTAACTGCCTAGTAAGTATAATTTCAATATTAATTATTATTATCTAATTAGTTAATCTCATAAAAGAATGGTAAGCCACTAAAGATTTGTAATAATTTGCCAATTTTTGTGATTTTTGTCCTGCTCCTGTGCCTAATCTGCTAAATCTAGAAAGTTGCTTTTTTTCAGGTACCTATCAAGTACTTATACAATAGAAAACGTAACTATTATTTTAAGTTTCTAGACTATTATTTTCTTTATTAAAAAAACTATTGAAACTTGATATATTTCAAAATTAGCCAATTTTGCCCTCAAAAATCATTATGTTGAGGAAAAAATTAAAATCTGAAACTTTCAGGAAATGTAGTCCCCACCTTGATCTTTTCAGTCTAGTTAGTCTTGTTTTGTTATTTTTATCCATGTAAAAGATATAAGGATTTTTTAAATGCAGTTAAGAAGCGATATTGTTAGTTTTATTTATAATTTTAAATTTAGATGGCTTTGACTTACTCAATTCATGTTTGGTAGAGAAATGTCAGAACTGTCAAAAATATTTCATAAATATTATTTGTGCGTATTTAAATTGTGATTTCAAAAAGTTTGCAAGTGTAATAAATGACGGAGTGTTCGAGATTCATGAATTTAATTGCAATTAAAAATGCAAGAACATATCATAATTTTGTACCTCTTTCTCATAGAAAATATTCAAGTTCTGAGAAGTTTTAAATTATTAAAAATAAGCAAAAACCAACAAATATTATTATTATTATAACATGTTTTATTTTAACCAGTTACCTAAAAACTAAAATTTAAAGAAGTATTTACAGATTGTGTAAATTATATATTGTGTATTGTATATTATATATATTTATATATATGATTATACAATACATAAAATATAACGTAACTACCAAATATATCAGAACTGTAAAAAATATTTCATAATTATTATTTGTGGTATTCCTTTGGTGATTTTAAAAAGTTTTGTTTATAACATAATATGACATATTATGTTATATACAAAATTTACCAAAGAAATAGGCACAAATAATATTTATGAAATATTTTTGACAGTTCTGACACTTCTCCACCAAACATGAAAGCCATCTAAATTTTAAATTATAAATAAAACTAACAATATCGCTACTAAACGGGCATTAAAAAAAAATTAATATATCTTTTAAAGGAATAAAAATAACAAAACAAAACTAACTGGACTGAAAAGATGAAGGTGGGGACTACATTTCCTGAAAGTTTCCTCAACATAATGATTTCTGAGGGCAAAATTGACTAATTTTAAGAATTATCAAGTTTCAATAATTTTTTTAATAAAGTAAATGATAGTCTAGAAACTTAAAATAATAGTTACGTTTTGTATTGTATAAGTACTTGATACCTGAAAAAAAAAATAACTTTCTAGATTTAGTAGAATTGGCACAGGAGCCAGACAAAAATCACAAAAATTGGCAAATTATCATGATTCTTTAGTGGTTTACCATTCTTTTATGAGATTAACTAATTGGATAATATTAATTTATATCGAAAACACACTTATAAGTATACTGAACAGTAAAACAAAATTAAAATCATTTTAATATTTGTCACAAAAAAAGTTCTGGCCCACTATAAGAGAGTAAAAAATTGAGACGATTTCATATTTCTAAAGGGTGCCGATTAAAAATAAAGAATCCAAAAATTAAAACGGCAACGGATTTTCATATTTGATACCTAAAAGGTCATCCTCAATTTTTTTTATCAAAATAAAAAATCAAGCAGCGCACCCCATTTGGTTTTTTTATTTGGAATGACTCAGCTGTCAAAAAATACTAAAAAGTTATTTTGATTATTCGGTAGGTAGATGGTTAGTAAATATTATACTTTTGGAGGCATGTAACTTTTATGAATGTTTCCTTAAGAAAATTCGCTGAATTTAAAATAAATGTAAAATGGTCAGGACATGGAGGCAGAATCGTAAAACACCCGAAACGCAAACTTTTTGACTTATAAAATCGTTATCCTATATGCTAAACTGTACTAATTTTACAATTTAGATAAAACAACTAAAAACGTAGAGAATAAGGTACTTTAATAGCTAAAATGTTCGCTAACAAGCATATTAATTCCAGAGCCGGAAATCAAGAAGGAGCCCGAAATCGTGGAAGTGAAACGAATCAAGGAAGAGTCGCCTAGAAAGAAGGAGAAGAAGGAGCGGAGGAAGGAGAAAAAGAGCGAGAAAGATCAGGAGAAGAAGAGGAAACGAAAGTCGGACCAAAGTCAGCTGGAAGAGGCGCCTCCGGAGAAGATTACCGTTAAGGAGGAAGACGTTTTGCTGAACAACAACTCCAACGACGAGAATATGGTGAGCAGCACCGAGGGGGTGCCGGACGACAAAGTTACAACAGAGGTTAGTGAAAATTTAGGACGTAATTTTTATTTAACAAATTGTTTGGCATTTTCTGGTTTTTAAATGTTGAATTACACCGGTCGACAACAGTAATTTTTGTTTTCCACTGATACAGATAAAAAATGCTCGAGCATTTATTTTTTAAGAACGAAAACTGAGCACAAAAGAGAAATGAGCAAAAACAAGAAATTCACGAGAATATATTAACGTGGCAGAATTGAACGTTTTTTATCATTTTTTTTTTATTTTTCTTGTTTATTTTCAATATTTTCGAAAATATTCTAATTTTTCTTAATATTCTCGAGAAGATTCTTAATTTTCTCAATGTTTTTGAGAAAATATCCAGTTTTCGAGAAAATTCTTTATTTTCCTAATTTAACCAACTATATATCTCTAAAGATAGGAGAGGTACCCAGGTAAAGATGGAAAATGCTTTAGCATTTATTTTTGGAGAACGCAAATTGAGCAGAAACGAAAAAAAACTAGCATAAACGAGAAATTTACGAGAATTTATTAATATTCTGAATTTATTGGCCATTGAACGTTTTTTATCAATGTTTTTTATTTTTCTTGTTTATTTTCAATATTTTCGTAAATATACTTATTTTTCTTAATATTCTCGAGAAGATTCTTAATTTTCTCAATGTTATCGAGAAGATTACCAGTTTTCGAGAAGATTCTTTATTTTCCTTATTTAACCAACTACATGTACAGGGTGATCCCCTATAATGTCGCCCCCCTTTAACTTTTTTATTTTAAGTCTCCCAAAAAATTTAAAAGTGTGGTTATGTAGGAACTAAAAAATACTTTTTTTCTACGTATAAAGAAAATTGGAAAATTGATCAGTATACAGGGAAAAACAAAAAGTTTTTTTTTCAATGGATCACCCTATATTTGAATTTATTTTTCGATTCCTTGTAAAATTCTGAGCATAATTTATATACAAACCATATACCTAAACTCAACCGCGTCTGAAATATTCGCATTCGAAATGTCATCATTAAATGTTTTTTTAAACTGTTAAAAATCAAGAAGCCTCAGTATACCAAAATTTTTATTGAAAATAAATTACTATAGTGACATTATGTCAATAAGTGTTGTTAAATAAGTAAAAATGGCGTACTCAGACAGAGAGAAAGACAAACTATTTCAACTTATTATCTTAAAAATAATTTAAATATTTTTTCTGTACGGTTGAAATTAGGTATATCATATACCATATACCGTATATGGTATGATATATGAAATATGCTTAGAATTTTACAAGGAATCGAAAAATAAATTCATATATAGGGTGATCCATTGAAAAAAAATTAACTTTTTGTTTTTCCCTGTTTACTGATCAATTTTTCAATTTTCTTTATACGTAGAAAAAAAGTATTTTTTTGTTCCTACATAACCACACTTTTAATTTTTTTGGGACACCTAAAATAAAAAAGTTAAAGGGGGGCGACATTATAGGGGATCACCCTGTATCTACTATTGTATGTATCTATAAAGATTAAAAAGGTGCCCAGGTAGAGATGGAAGATGCTTTAGCATTTATTTTTTAAAAACGCAAATTCAGCACAAACGAAAATAACCGAGAAAAAACGATCATAAACCAGAAATTTACGAGAATTTATTAACATGGCAAAATTGATCCTTAGAACGTTTCTTGTCAATGTTTCTTATTTTTCTTGTTTGTTCTCAATATTGAGAGAAGATTCTTAATGTTCTTAAGAAGAATACCAATTTACGAGAATATTCTTTATTTTCCTAATTTAACCAACTATGTATCTCTAAAGATAAGAGAACTACGCAGGTAAAGATGGAAAATGCTCTAGCTTTTATTTTTGGAGAACGCAAATTGAGAACTCATGAAAAAAACTAGCCTAAACTATAAATTTACGAAAATTTATTAATAACCTGACAGAATTGGGCCATTGAACGTTTTTATCAATGTTTTTTATTTTTTTTGTTTATTTTCAATATTTTCGTAAATATTGTTATTTTTCTTAATATTCTCGAGAAGATTCTTAATTTTCTCAATGTTATCGAGAAGATTACCAGTTCTCGAGAAGATTCTTTATTTTCCTTATTTAACCAACTATTTATCTCTAAAGATTAAAAAGGCACCCAGGTAGAAATGGAAGATGCTCTAGCGTTTATTTTTGGAGAACGCAAATTGAGCACAAACGAGAAAAAACGAGCATAAACCAGAAATTTCCGGGAATTTATTAACATGGCAAAATTGGGCAATATAACGTTTTTTATCAATGTTTCTTATTATTCTTGTTTATTCTCAATATTTTCTGATTTTTCTTAATATTCTCGAGAATATTCTCAATGTTCTTTATTTTCCTAATTTAACCAACTATGTATCTCTAAAGATTAAAGAGGTACCCAGGTAGAGATAGAAAATGCTCTAGTATTTATTTTTGGGGAACGCAAATTGAGCACAAACGAGAATAAACGAGAAAAAACGAGCGTAAACCTGGAATTTCCGATAATTTATTAACAACATGGCAGAATTAGGCCATTCAACGTTTTTTGTTAATTTTTCTTATTTGTCTTGTTTATTCTCAATATTTTCTTAATTTTCTCAATGTTCTCGAGAAGATTACAAGTTTTCGAGAAGATTATAAGTTTTCGAGAAGATTCTTTATTATCCTAATTTAACCAACTATGATATCTCTAAATATAAGAGAGGTATCCAGGTAAAGATGGAATATACTCCAGCATTTATTTTTGGACAAACGAGAAAAAACGAGCATAATTAGTCAATTTTGCCCTCAGAAATCATTATGTTGAAGAAAAAATAAAAATCTGAAACTTTTGGAAAATGTAGTCCCCACCTTCATATTTTCAGTCTAGTTAGTCTTGTTTTATTATTTTTATTCCTTTAAAAGATATATTAATTTTTTTAATGCCCGTTTTTTAGCGATATTGTTAGTTTTATTTATAATTTAAAATTTAGATGGCTTTCATGTTTGGTGGAGAAGTGTCAGAACTGTCAAAAATATTTCATAAATATTATGTGTGCGTATTTCTTTGGTAAATTTTGTATATAACATAATATGTCATATTATGTTATATATGTTACGGCTAATGTGCAAACTTGGATAGTTTATAAACTAGCTGGATAGTTTATAAACTAGCCAAACTGTCAGCTATTTTAATTGAAAACATATTTTCAACTAAATTAGCGGCTAGTTTACAAAATAACCAAGGATCTTGGCTAATTTACTTGAAATTATTAGGGAAACTAAAATAGCTGGATAGTGTGTATACTATCCAATTCAGTTTGGCTAATATGAAAACCAAAATTTCTAGCAACCAATTCTCTGGCTAATTTATTAAAAAAGTGAGGTTACGGCATTGTTTTTCGTTTCGCCGGCTTAACCGGATTTGTTTTGTGCATTTTAACGTTTTTAAAATGAATCATAGGCAAAATTTTAACGCTTCCTTGTTAGAACACTCAACAACACAACCCTACCGACCCCGCCCCATTGCCCTCCCCCGCCCCATTGGTCAAATGGTCAAAAATGAGAGAAAAAAACCCAAACCAACCCAAACTCAACAACACAACCCAACTGACCCCGCCCCATTGAGCAAAAAACCCAACTAAAATGGGCAAAAATAAGAGGATTAGTTGGTTAGTTTACAAACTAGCTAAAGCTTGGCTATTTTGTGTTACTAGAAATTTTGGTTTTCATATTAGCCAAATTGAATTGGATAGTATACAAACTATCCAGCTATTTTAGTTTCCCTAATAATTTCAAGTAAATTAGCCAAGATCCTTGGTTATTTTGTAAACTAGCTGCTAATTTAGTTGAAAATTCATTTTCAATTAAAATAGCTGACAGTTTGGCTAGTTTATAAACTATCCAGCTAGTTTATATCCAGCTAGTTTATAAACTAGTTTATAAACTATCCAAGTTTGCACATTAGCCGTGACATAAACAAAACCAAAGGAATACCACAAATAATAATTATGAAATATTTTTGATATTTTTGGTAGTTATGTTATATTTTATGTATTGTATAATCATATACATATATATATATATATATATATATATATATATATATATATATATATATATATATATATATATATATATATATATATATATATATATATATATATATATATATATATATATATATATATATATATATATATATATATATATATATATATATATATATATGATTATATATTATATACATTGTAATGAAGTATTAAATTGGCTAATTGGTGTTTAAAAAAGAAGAAAGAAAAAAATATATTCAAGATCCTTATGGTTTATATCGTAAAGTATAATAAGTAAAATTAATAAAGAGTTAATTTAAACGTATAAAAAATGCGTTAAGCAGTTTTTTGTCGTTTTTTTTCACAATTTAAACCAAGTTAGTCTTGTTCTATTATTTTGATCCCTTTAGTAAGGCACTGAATAGTTAAAAGTTATATGTAGGTATGTATGTATTTTAAATGTTAGTGTTGGTAAAAAATTTACACAATCTGTAAATACTTCTTTAAATTTTAGTTTTTAGGTAACTGGTTAAAATAAAACATGTTATAATAAAGGGGTTAATTTAGAATATTTTTAACAATTTAAAACTTCTCAGAACTTGAATATTCTCTATGAGAAAGAGGTAGAAAATTATGATATGTTCTTGCATTTTTAATTGCAATTAAATTCATGAATCTCGAACACTCCGTCATTTATTACACTTGCAAACTTGCAAACTTTTTGAAATCACAATTTAAATACGCACAAATAATATTTATGAAATATTTTTGACGGTTCTGACATTTCTCTACCAAACATGAATTGACTAAGTCAAAGCCATCTAAATTAAAAAAATTATTATATCTTTTACATGGATAAAAATAACAAAACAAGACTAACTAGACTGAAAAGATGGGGACTACATTTCCTGAAAGTTTCAGATTTTTATTTTTTCCTCAACATAATGATTTCTGAGGGCAAAATTGGCTAATTTTGAAAATTATCAAGTTTCAATAATTTTTTTAATAAAGAAAATGATAGTCTAGAAACTTAAAATAATAGTTACCTTTTCTATTGTATAAGTACTTGATACCTGAAAAAAGCAACTTTCTAGATTTAGCAGAATAGGCACAAGAGCTAGACAAAAATCACAAAAATTGGCAAATTATTACAAATCTTTAGCGGTTTACCATTCTTTTATGAGATGAACTAATTAGATAATAATAATTATTATTGAAAACATTCATCATTTCAATAATTGCCACAGAAAAAAAGTTTTAGGCTCTAAAAGTAAGAAAATGATTTCAGGTTTCTAAAGGGTGCCGATTAAAAATAAAACAACTAAAAATTAAAACTGCAACGGTTTTTCATATATGATGCCTATAAGATCATCCTCAACTTTTTTCATTGAAATAAAAAATCATGCAGCGCACTTTTAAATTCATTTTTGGTTTTTCATTTGGATTGACTCTATATCGAAAGAATAATTTCAATCTGCCATCCCTACTCATTAGGGTGGGCCGATTTTATATTTATCTTCTAAAATTTAAAAATATTAAATTCTGCATTTAAAAAAAAGTTGTGAAATAGGAAAGTAAACATTTTTTGCAAAATATTTTTTTTGATATCTATATGTTTTGAACTGCCGCAACGCCTCTAAAAATTTAAAAGTAATTTTTAAAAATTTAAAATTATTCATAAATAGGAAAGTAAACTATTTTCTTTTAATATTTTTTTTCTTTTTTAATGTTTTGAACTGTATGAAGTCAAACTGTAAATTTTAAATTTTGCAATAATTGCAATTATTGGAGAGACGGCGTAAAATGGAGAATAAATATTTTTTAAGATTTTCGTGTTTGACGTAGGACAGTTAACAGTTGGCTTCACTGTTTATATAAATTATAATATTTTGACATCGTCAATTAGTTGAATAATATAAATTTTTACAAGTAGTATCTGTTTGTGGTTTTTGGGTGGTAAAACAGGATTATAAATTGAATTAAATTTGTGTTGATGATAAATTCATTTTTATTTTTGTTTTTTTTTTTATTCTCTCTTTTATTTATTCAAAACTTTTTTTAACCCTATTTTCTCTCAGATAATTTTTTTCGTATTTATAACGATACTAAATTACATTAAGATCTTTCAAGGCCTTGCGGCAGTTTAAGAAATTAAAATTAAAAAAAAACTCTTATAATTTTTTTCTGGCTTTATATATAAATGCACAACTTTTCCACCATTGCACAATTTGATATTTGAAAAATATTAAAATCGGCCCACCCTACAACTCATAGCAGGTTTTGACTTGACAGCGAAACAATATTTAAATCACATTTTTCCTTAACTCAAGGCCGAAGACTACATGAGCATGCTCCGCGAGCTGCAACACAAAATCATGGACCTGAAGGACAACAGCGATCTGCAAAAGGTGGTGCAACTGATCGCGGAGACCGGCCAGTTCGAGGTCTCCGCTCACACCTTCGACTTCGACCTGTGCCTTCTCGATCGCACGACAGTGTCGCGGCTGCAAGACTTTTTCCGAACAGTCAAGCCGATGTAACACGACAAGTGACCGAAGTGCGCGAGTGAGTATGCGTTGACTTTTCAGCCCTGTCACTTGGAGGTTTCCAGAATTTATGATTTATGATTAAAGACATCTAACGGTGAAATTAAGGTGGTACTTTTTGTTGTCAAGATGGCCGGCATCAGCGCGGTCATCTTAACGGTACAAAATTACTAATTTAGTTCCGGCGATAGATCTAGTGACGTGTCTGGTGTAGCTTTTTGAATTGTTTGTGGTACAATTTTTCGTCGGGTTCACGGACGTTTTGTGTTTTATTTAACGTACTTTTTTGTTGCTCCCTAAAAAAATTATCGAGCTGACAATAAACAGTTCTGAATTTAAAAAGTGACCAACGGTATATTTTATTTATAAATTGATTGAGTACTAAACTAAACTAGAGACCCTTCATGAAGGGTCTCTAAACTAAACTAATCGACAGAATGTTCTTTATTTGTGTTTTATTAATTATTTTATTTATTTTATCTTTGGACTACTAACTTTAAAATAACAATAAAAAACGTAAAAATTTTATTGTTGATTAATTTTCATTATATTTTGTTGTTATAATAATATTGTTGTAATAGAATTTTATGTGTACATTTTAAAAATGTATTTGGGGAATTTCATACCAAATCGACCACTTTTGACCCCGACCCCTTTTGATTTGGCTAAAACTTTTTATCTTTTTTACCCTAGTGTTTTAAAAAATTTTTTTAATTTTTTTTAATTTATAACCATATTAAAAATTGATTTATGAGAACGTTTTTTAATTCAACATTTTTGATTTTATATGTACTATTAAGAAATATATATAAAAAAATTATTCAGACGAATTTCTAACGGTTTTATAAATTTCTTGACGATCGGCAATTTTAATATTTTTAATATTTTTTTCTTATTTTATTAGAAACTGACATTTTCTGCAAATTCTGCAACATTTTCAGTGTTTTTTTTTCGTTTTCTATTTTTTTCAATCAAATTTTTTTTTAGTCAGCCTAGTCTCCTTATACCACTTTAAGGATTTTTGAGGATGTAGAGAAACCTCAAAGTTTAAAAAAAAATAATAAAATAAATTGAAAGTGGTAATCAATACTGCCGTGCTTAATGAAAACGCCGTAACCAACAATTTTGCCATTTTTGTTTAACGGCATTTTCTACTAGAACAATTCATCCTGCGTCTATCCCCGGTACTCAAAAAACCGTATATATATAGATACGGTGTTTTGAGTACCGGGGATAGACGCAGGATGAATCGTTCTAGTAGAAAATGCCGTAAAACAAAAATCGCAAAATTGTTGGTTGCGGCGTTTTCATTAAGCACAGCAGAATAATTTGTTTTTTTTTATATTTTTTTAAATTACATTAAAATTTTTATTTGGTTCATGATTGGACAAAAGCTAAAAAGCTTCGTTTTGATGTAAAAACACTGGGCATTTTTTTAAATTGAAAACAGCACGTGCCAAGATGATCTAAGTTAATTTTTTCTGAAAATATGGAATAATAATTTAAATTATTAACAATCAAATAACTTTACCTTGGAGTGTAGAAATCTAGATATTGAAATTACGTTTTTACTAATTTAGTTTTAAAATAAAAATATCAATTTGAATATCTTTCATTTTTTTGTTTAATAGACCAAATCAACTGGGAAAAATTTTGAATTAATATTTCTGTGTATTTTTATTTCGATTAACTATTGTTTTTTATTGATTTTATTGATATAATTGTTTATATTTCGAATACAATTTAATTTTTCATAAAAAATTCCCAAAAAATTAACTTAGATCGTCTTGAGGCACGTGTTGTTTTTAAATAAAATATTTAAAAAAAATTCCCAGTGTTTTTTCATCAAAAAGAAGCTTTTTAGGGGGCGTCGCAAAAAAATTTATTTTTTAACGACCACCCTATTGGACAAACAACAGGCTTTTAAAAAATGTTAAGTGTTTAATTTTTGGTGGGAGTCTTTCATGTTTTCTTTTTCAACACTTTTTTTGTTTAATTACTTAAAAAACATAGTTTATTAAATAATTATATTTATTATATTTATAGCTATAGTATATAAAATTATTTTTTTTTCTTTGTTTTTAAATGTAGTTTAAAAAAAAATATTCAGAAATATGTATATCTTATATTTTTTTCTCACTTTTTCTATTTTTTGATGATTAACACTTTTAATTTCATTTATTTATTTTTTTCAAACTTTGAGGTTCTCTCTACATCCTCAAAAATCCTCAGGGAAAAAAAAAATGACAATTCGAGAAATGTTCGTTGATTTTTTGTATAATTGTTTTTGAAAACTACATTTTAAAACAAAGAAAATAAAAAATAATGTTACATACAATATAATAATTACAATTATTTAATAAACTATGTTTTTAAAGTAATTAAACAAAAAAAGCTAAATGTTGAAAAAGAACATGAAGCGAAATCCATTACGAATTAACCCCTTAAAATATTTTTCTGAAAAGTACATTTAAAAACAAACATTAATTTAATTAAAAAAAAAACGTCCAGATAAGCCATTTTTTTGAAAAATTCATAACTTATTTTCGGTATGGTAAAAAATTCTTAAAAGCGTTTTTGATACCCTAGAGTAGAAAAAGATAAAAAAAGTTTTAGACAAATTAAAAGGGGTCGGGGTCAAAAGCGGTCGATTAGGTATGGAATTTATTGTAAACAATATTTAAACAGTAAAGTTTAAATACGATATAAACTAAAGATATAGAAAATTTTTGCAATTACTATAAATGCGAGTATTTTTAACTATTTTTAAGTGATTAAGGGCATTCATCATATTTTCAAAATTTATGTATTTTGTTGTAAAAAGCATATTTTATAATTGGACTGACAAGTACTGTTCCTTATTAGATATTTTGTTTAAATCTAGTCACTTTAAATGGGAATAAATTAAGTTTTACGAATAATAATGGTATTTTCTTAAGGTTTTTCTGATACATTTCCTTGGTTATGTTCGTATGCACAAAATATAGTTACCATTTGATGGGCCAAAACATTTTCGTTAAATTTATATTAAACGGCAGGTTTATAAAAATTAATTAAATTTTATTCACGAAAAACAAATTAAAAAAATCTATTTTTTTTATTAAACACAATTAATAAAGATTTGATTAAAAAAAATAATAAGTTTAATAAATATGTATGATAAAATTAAAAAAAAATTGTTTTAAAAATGTATTCAAAAACTGACCATTCGAGAATGTGCCAATGGTAAAATTTGATCAATGGGTCATGTTCTACAATACAGGTTGCACCAAACATCATTCTATGTATTTTTGAGCTATAAAGTCGGTTAAATTAGACCAAAGTTGCGTAATTAGTCTTTTAAAATAGCATTTAAAATTGGAAAAAAATCAGAGGTTCTCAAATAATTAAAATAAAACTAAAAACCTGTCCAAACCAAAAATAGTTATTCCTGGGAATTTAAAAAAAAGTAAGTTTCCCATGTAAACATACACCATCTTTTGTTTTTGTATCTACATAAATTATGACGGCCATTATAAAAACAAAAGATGGTGATGGTAACCCAAAATATAGTTGCAAAGAAATTGGATGAAAATTCAGATTAAAATTTACAAAATTCCCAGTAATATCAAAGTTACAACGATTTTAGTTTTTGGTTATAGTTTTTTTTTAATATTTTGAGAACCGCTTACGCTACAATTTATGAATTGTATGTCAATAGGCTTGTAATTACGCTACTTTTCTATAATAAAAAAATACCCATAGAAGTATACTGGGTGCACCCTGTATACGTGAAATTTAGCCAAATTCACCGAAACATATTTTCCATTGGATTAGTGCGGGTCCTTTTAAAAAATTTAAAAATTTTGCACAGCCACTCATTTCTTACGCCACGAACATACAGGCTCTCATATCACTTATATTGATTTTTACAATCGAATTTTCGTTACAGGTGCTAAAATATTACCCCTAACGCACACAAAGAAGCAAAAATATTAATCTAAAATTTTAAACTAGCTTTAACATAACATGTATTTTTGGTTAAAGCCTTAAAGGTATCTAAATTTATAAACCACATAAAATTAATAAAATTTGTTGTTTAAATTTTCAGTAATTGCCATTTTACTATACCTATTTATTTTAAATTATTTGAATTGAGTTTTTTGTCACTTTTTAAGTAAAATAATATAATAAAAAAAATTATATATTAAAATTATATATATAATATATAATAAAAAGTTGGTTCAACAGTTTAACTATGTTTTGTGCATATGGTCATAAGTCAAAGAACCCCTTGTGTTTAGTAATTGTGTAATTTACATACAGCCGAGCATTGGCGCATGTTTTTCTAAACACCCTGTATATGTATATCTTACGCTCAATACTTGAATTCTGGCATGCTCATGTATTAAGCAAAAAATATTTTCCAAACCTGAACTTTCCTTTTATAACTTATACAGGGTGTTTCCTATCTACGGTACGAAATTTCAGAGGATGATTCGTTAGGTCATTTTAAGAAAAGAAGTTCCTATAAACATATGTCCGGAGTCGCTTTGTTTCTGAGATACAGGGTGTTAGAGTTTTTTTTTAAATAGGTTTTTATGAAATATCATATAGGTCCTTAAACCGATTTGGTTCAAATTTGGTACAGTTATTTGAATTAATAAGACGCTTATTCAGCACTAACTAGATTTTAATTATTAAGTCCAGTGGCGTCTCACAGTGGCGTGCATACAATACAAGCAAAAAAGCATTGCCTACCTTGGAATAATTAAAATTTACTTATTTTTTTAATTTAATGTAGGTAAACCTACATAATAAATAATATTTAATAACATATTTATTAACCAATTAATAGGTGCCTTTACTTTTGCCATCTATTGTATCAATGTGATACTATCAAGGTAAAACGCAGATTCGTTTTACGTATAAGCATCGCATAGAATAGATTGGACCTATATGATATTTCATAAAAACCTATTTTTTAAAAAAACTCCAACACCCTGTATCTCAGAAACAAAGCGACTCCGGACATATGTTTATAGGAACTTCTTTTCTTAAAATTACCTAATGAATCATCCTCTGAAATTTCGTACCGTAGTTAGGAAACACCCTGTATAGTGAGAATTACAAAATACAATATATTCTTTGTTATTTAATATGTACATATCTGGTTTTATACAATATTCCCTCTAATGTTATATACTAATGTCTACAGATGGGGTTACAAAGAGGAAAACAAAATTATTTTACATTTCTCAGAAAATTTCATTCTTGATAAAAGTTTTTGCTTGATTTCAAACCAGAATATGAGACAAATTATTTTTATTGTCAATTTTGATTTTTCTAAAAATTTTGGACTGACATTTTTTTGTTAATGGTATATTCTGTAACAAGTTTGGATTACAGCATATTCCGCTCGAGTGAAGAGTTTGTCACACGAGCCGAAGGCGAGTTTGACGGTTTCACGAGAGCGGAATATGCAATTCCAAACGTGTTTCAGACTATACTTTTTCTACGTTTCCAAAAAATACCATAGAAAAATAATTTAATTGGAAGAATGTGAGGTTGGATCGGTCTAAAATTTGTTAGATATTAAAAACAGAGATGTCGCCACAAGTGTTTATTCTGTCATCCGATGATAGAATATTTCATTCTGTAACACTTTACAGAATATATGTCATTCCATAGATAAAAGTGATATTAGAACGGTCAAATTCCGTAATAACAGTAGAAAAAATTATTTTAACTCAATTTTCGTTAATTGTTATTTTATTTCCAATAAATAAATGTTATCACGGTAGGTAAAAATCTGTAGAATTCTCAAGGATGTCATTAATTTTTACTTATAAAAAAGTATAAAAATGCAGAAAACGGCGATGAAATTTTTTTGGGAGAAATGACAAATAAACGAAACTGACCAAAAAATGATTTTTATCAAAAAGAGAAAGATATGTAAAATATTTTTTTATCCGTTGATATACTGTATATTGGTTTGTATCAATGCCTGAGCACAATTCTGCGCGCGCGTAACCATGCTTAGGCATACTAGTTTTGAGCAATGCCCAAATTCAGGTATTGAGTATATTCGATATACCTATGTTTTTTTAATATACTATTAAATTATAAAAAAGTTAGGAAATTATTTAAATTGTTTTCATTTCTTATATTATAATGGGTGACTATTTTTTTCATTCATTTAGTGTACAATAACTTTTTTCGCACTAAATTTTAGTCTCTTGAGTTTTTTTGCTTTGATTAAAGAAAAATATGTAAAATTTTACTCAATGAATATTACATTAAACGATTCTATTTTGTTTAATTAAGTACTTATTATAACTCGTAGAAGACGAGTTTTCTATTACATTAAATTAATTAGGTAAAAATAAAGATTTTCTAAAAATCTTGTCTGTTGCTTAGTTGAATTAAATAAACTCTGGTGTAAAATTTTCCTTATTTTTTTTTAAACAAGCCTAGATATCGAAAATATAGTCGCTTGGTATAATATTAAAAACAAAAATACTTTAAATAATGTATTTCCTTAAATGCATACCAAATTTGGATAATGTACCTTTTATATTTCAAAGATATTAAAAGAAAAATAAAAAGAATATATTAAAACACCCTGTATCTCAAAATTAAAAAATATTTTGACTTGGGTTCCTGTATATTTTTATCAATATTATAGAATTCTTAGCTTGTAGAAATTTTACAGAATTTCTTACTTGTTACTCAGAATCTACGTAAAAAATATTGATAATTTTAAAATTCTTTATTTTAAAACTTTTACGCCATCTAGCGCTTAAACGAAGCAACTGATATTTTTTTTATATGTAGACTGGGCAATATTTTTTTCTTTATATAATTTCAATAATTTGGTGGGTAAATTACTTTAAATGTTTTTCCTAACAACTATACTTTTTTGTCCTACGTTTTGATTTATAAAACGGTCTTAGCGGCGTGTATATCACAAGGCTTATTTTTATAAATTTTTTAGAAAAAATTGCAATTTAAAAGCATGGATTAAAATTTAAAAAAATGTTTTTGTTGATTTTAAGACTTGAAATTATTTTTCATTGAAAACATTTTATAATGTGCTTGCTCTGTGTATTATGTACCTGGTTACATTCTTCACCTCTCCTAAACCTTATATTAACCAGAAAATATTATATTACTAAATATAATAATAATAACTATTTATTGCCGAGCAGGATTTACCAAGATCCATAAATTATTTATTTATTTGGCTTAGTATAGACTTAAATAATTCAAAAAATATTCCGAATATTTTCTTTGATATACTAAATGTTCGTTTTGATTATGTTGACTGTTAAATTATTCTTACGATCCTGGATGTATTTTTATCTAGGACTATAATTTACTTTCTTTACTTATCGTTAGTACTTTTAAAGATGGCACCGCATATACAGTAGTATCTTGCAAATATAAACTTGCAAACTTATAACTTTTATTTCTTATAGATTTTTTGTTTTTATATAAGTTAATTATTTTGTTGTTATATTTGCATGACTAGTTTTTATTGTCTCTTAATTAAGGTTATAAAGATTGCTTTTTACAGTTGTAAATAATATTTGATCATAAAAATAATTTAATATGTAAATAAAAGGCATTTTATTAAAAATTAATGTAGTGATAATACCTTTTTTAATTTAACCTTTTCAAATGAATTCCTACTTTTCCTTATTTATAGAACTATTAACAATTTTGAATTAATTAAATATAATTTTTAAAATTTTAAGGCTTTATACTAATAGATGCCAGCAATAGTCTAATTAAGTAGATATCAGTCGTGTAAAATCAAAAGTGGACAGAAGGTGGTAAGTACCGTATTATTTAATATTGTAGTTTATCGTTTATTTGTGCATTTAAGCGTTTTAAGTTTAATATTAAATAATCGTGAAATTATTATTACAAACCGCATTTTAAAAAGATAAAATTAATTACCGATTAACTCTAAATCGGATTTAAATAGTATATTATGTATCAAGTTTTATAAACGCCATGTTAGTGAGTTTTATTAGGCTCTAGCAAAGCTTGCGAGCGAGTTTTTAATAAAAACGAGTGTCTAGAGAAGTTTATAAAACGAGTGGCATACTATACAACACTCACAAATAATAATTAAAAGTCAATTTTAATTGTTAAATATTTTACATTGACGAATTTAACCTTACTTTTTCGCAATTTAAATAATTATAATAAAACTAACTTCAGCACTTGACCATATAAAATGCCTAAAAGCCACTGTTTCTAACTCCATCCCGTGAATAATACTCCATAAGGTAGATAATAGTATATTATGTATCAAGTTTGATGAACTCCATTTTATACACGAATTTAATTTAAAATTGAAATTTGACAGTTTAATGACAGCCCTGATAGAATATAATTATGTATCAAGGCAGTAAAGTATTTTTTCTACTCCCACTTTTAAAACGCCCTATATCGTACATGGGGCATTCCACGTTACTCGGTAATTTTTGTCCCGCCCGTCACAATTAAAAATTGCGAGTAAAAACCACAAGTTATAAAATTAATATTTTATTAGATTATTTTTATTGTGCTTATAACATATTAAAAGCATAATAAAACAATATTTTTAAATAAATTTTATAACGTGTAACTCACAATTTTTAATTGTGACGGGCGGGACAAAAATCCCCGAGTAACGTGGACACTAATTAGTGAACTTTTAAATACACATTGACAAGTTGTGACTCGCAAGCTCGCTCGTGCCTAAATTAAATTCGTGTATAAAATGGCGTTTATCAAACTTGATACATATTATGGGCCGTTTATAAAAAATTAAATTAAAATTTAGTGATAAGTTTTTATTTTTTTAAGGGGTATTTATCAAAAACAAAAAAAATATTGACAAGAAATGGCAAGAAATTCAACTCAGAATTTTAACAAAACATACAATCTAGAAAAATATTTTCTTAACATAGATTTTAAATCTTGGCTCAAAAATTAATTTTAATACGACTTTTTCTTTTATATGATGCATTTTCTTCCCGAAGTAGATTCCAAACATAGTCACCCATCATTGTCGCATCCCACCTTCCTTGTTATCACTTTTCCATTACCCGAATATCTTGATGGAATCTTTCTCCATGTTCTTCGCTGACATCTCCCAGATTTTCACGGAAAAAGTCAAGATGCGAATGCAAATAGTGTAGGTACTTTCAACGACATGCGGCATCCCATTTCTTTAAAACTTCCTAATAAAACTTTGACAAGTTCACTATAATTTTCTCTTTTGTGGTTACCAAGGAAACCTATCATTTAAAATCTCACTTTTGAGTTTAAAAAATATGTATTATAATCCAATTTTATTAAAAAAAAATTATTAATTTTTTTTACATTACAAGTTTAATGGCCTAAATCTTACGTGAGGGATAGGGAGGGGGTCTACCACATCTCACTAAATCTTACCAAGGGGGAGGGAGGGGTCTAAATTATCAGAAAAATGCCTCACGTAATTAATGGATGTCCCCTCCTAATGACACTCAAAGCCATCAACACGATCTGACGGCTGTCGTTGAAAATTTGACAGTTTGAGGTTTTTTCTTACTTTTTTTCTCTTCTAAATGTACCTATTTTCAAAGTTTTAAATTTTTAAATTAATTTTTAACCTGAGCCCCGACCACTTAAAAAAAATGCTAATAACGTCAATAATAAAAAATTAGTTTAAACCAGGACCAAATCTGCAAAACCAGGGTCGTTTTGAGGGGTGGTGAATCCAGTGCCGTGCATAGATTTTTTTTAAATCGCTATAATTAATTCTTAAAAATTAACTTTGTAAGAATTGCTCCAAAATACAGTTTATCAAGAATTACACTTTAAAACAAATCCGGTTAAAATCGCATAATAAATAAAGATTTTACAGGGGTGAGTCGCAAACAAATGGGTCACACTATGAAATTTTTAATTCGCAGAATAAAAATTATTATGGGTCTTTCTTTAAAAAACGTGTAAATTAAGATTTAATTTTTGTCAAAAAAAAAATTAAATTAAACAGTCTTTTCTCGATTTTTATGTAAGAATGTCATATTCTCGCACGCAAAATCGTTGAAGAATGAAGCTCATTCTTAAACGATTTTTGGTAACATTTAGTTTTTAAGTATTGGTACCCCCAAAATGTCAAACTGATTAATAACCTCAAATTCATTACTTTTATTGAAAATGAAGCCTTTATTATTGTTTTGTAATATAAAGTTTGCTCCAACAATGCATTTTAATGCAAAATTTTAAGTTTAATGTGTAAAAGTGCAGTTCAGGTTGTACTTGTGCAGGATAACAAATATTGTCATTTTGTGTTGCCAACTGACATTTTGCGAGAAAAATCCCCTAACTAACAACGACCACAAAACAATTAAAAAAACCTAAATAAAAGTTAAAATCGAGAAAATAGTATAAATCACACGTTGCAGAAGGCTATTCTCGCACTCATTCGTTCGTCCACTCGCTCCTTCGTCGCTCGAGGCCAAATTTCGAATTCGTGCGAGAATATGTGGCCTTCTGCAACTTGTACTTTAATATACTATTTTGGGTATTTTGCAAAATAAATATGTCAAAATTTAACCTGTAGTGAATGGCCGGGAAAATTTTTTGTTATACCTATTTGTGGAAAAATGAAAAAAATATAAGAAGGTTTAACAAAGCTGAGGTAAGGATAACAAAACTGAGAAATTTATTTAAAAAAAACGTTTATTTAGGATCTTTAAGTAAAATAAATAATCAACAAACTTCTTAACTAAAAACAAAAATTCAAAGTAATGAAATAGGTAACTCCTTAAACGTATATTGTTGCCTATAATTTACCGTTGGCTCTGGAAGCTTAACCACCAGTTCATTAAAGGATATTATAATTTTACCACCACATATTCATTTGGTTTAATATACTTTAATTTGTTTCATGAGACCAGTGATGATAGAGGTTCCTCATCTGAAGTGGAATAAACTTCTTCATATCTTAATCTTTTTGAAGTTATCTGTTTTGATGAGTTAATGTCAGAAGCATTATCAGAATCTGAAGACAAGATATAAAACTTTGATCGCGATGATTTGGGAGCTAAATAAATATTGGTTGAGAAAAAAATAATTTTAGATGTTTATACATTAAAATTTAAAATATTTTGATTATTAAAATAAAAAGGATACTTTGAAAATTTTTGGGCAAATTTTCTTTGTATTCGTTCAAGTTTAAAAGTGGCAGATATGTATAGTCTATACAACCAATTTTAAAGTGCACACATTCCTGGACCCCACATTCAATACATGATAGTTTTCTGACTTCCAATGAAAATTGCGCTTGTTTTTTCCATACAATTTCTCGAATGGTTAAAGTTCCTTTGAATGGTTTGATATTTGGACAAACAAGAGAATCCTTTTCATCAATGTCAGAATTGGAAACTGGAATACATTTTATTTTTTTAAGATTGGCCACGTCTTTTAATTTTAATACTAGAATTGTAAAATTTGGTATATCAATGCCATGTGCCACCATATTATCTGCTGAACCTTTTATCCTTCCCCAATCCCATCTGGGGCACCTTTTCCATGACCGGATTCTGAGTAGTGCCATCTTAATACATCAACGCCCAACTTTTGAGCTAAGTAGGATCCCATCAAGTAAAACATAGTCTTATTTTTATACTGGGTGGATGGCCCATCACTTAAGAAGTGAGCGCATGTAAGATTAGGAATTAAAGTTTTTACTTCAACAATTACAGGATCCAAGTGCGCACAAATTGCTGGTGGGTCATGCCTCAGATTTTCAGAAAGGGTGCATATTGATAGGTTGGTCACTTGAGATGTATTAATGTCTCGGTAATAAAATACCACTGTATGCAATGAAATTTGAGGTTTGGATGCCCCAAAATGTGCCGATTGAATTTCTGATACTGCATACTTACAGTTGTAATTTTCACTGAAATCAATGTGAATAAATACTTCATCAAAAGAAAGGTTTTTTTTAAGTAGTCTGTGGCCAGATATTGATGATTAATATTCCTTGTATGTATCAAAAAATTTGGCAAGCGCAATAACAATGCCTTGACTGCACTTTCCTTAGTGACATTTTGGGTTTGTTTAACTGTTCTTTTGCAAGTCTTTTTTACACCCCTTTTCAAAAATATTTCAGTTGTAAGTCTCCATTCCTTATATTGCATTTCTTCGCCGGGGTCGTAAGTATTAAAGCTGATTTCTTTAGCTTTGCATTTATCACAACTTCTTTCTAAACATGCATTTCCATATTTTTCACAGCAGATCTCTTTAATTAATTCGGTGGTATTGTTTGAATTTATAATTTTTTCTAATTTCAGCTTTGACACAAGTAGCTGCATATTACTATGCATTTTGCAAAGGCAAGTTTCCCTTTTCCTGGCACAAGGCGGCAAGACCCAAAATGGTCTAAACTTGCAAAATTGAGCATAGCTCGCCTTGATCAGTGGTTGCGATGTTAAAAAAATTTTATGAAGATTTTGGAGAGTGTCGTTCAGATACCGTTTTTGCTTTTTGATCTTGTGGAATGTTACGGTGTCCTTTTTACCTGGACACATTCGGCTTACATCGTCCCTTTCAAAAAATTCTTCAAACATTTTTCGTAACCGTTCCGCTTTCTTTTTGTTCTCAGGATCTATAGGGATTCTCTTGTACATTAAACGACGTGAACTTAATCTTCCCAAAAGTGATCCAAATCTGTATTTTTTTGTTACTTTTCCGCTGATACTTTTTACGAATTCACTTTTTTCTCTTACTCCTTTTTTGATATTAAAATTTTCTTTTATTTGGTCTTTGAGAGTTTCACCAAATAATAAACTTCTTTTTATTTCAGGAGTAAGGACTTGTCCTTTTATCATTTTTTTTAACCCTTTTCTTGGGCGTATCAGGGTTTTTTTCTATTTCATGTTTCCTTAATCTTTCTATTCTTTTACGATATTTGTTATTTTTTCTTTTTAATACTTTCAGCTTTTCCTTTAAACAATCAACTACTTTTCGCAATTTTTTTCTGTTTTTTTTTCTAACTGATTAACCTTAAATAAAAAAAAAACAAAAATGAATAATATTCCATAGTACTTCCAAGGGTATTTTTGAATAATAATCCATAGTACTTCCAAGGGTATTTTTTTACGACTTGTCTAATCGTCCGATCATCGGATGAATAAAATATATTAATCGTCCGGTAATAACATAACGTTAGTTACGTCATAATTATAATCCGCTTTTGTTCACCGACCGTTTAATATTTGACAACAAGCTAGATAGCTAGATAGCTTATATCATATACTTACCACATAAATAATAAATAAACACAATTAAAGTCATATTATTATCCTCTCTATTTTGTGATTTTTCTGACAAAGTAATGATTTTATGCCACTTTTCGGATGTTTAAACTAGTTTTTTAATATTCTTTCAAAATAACCTAAATTCCTAAACTGACATTTGTATTTATTCATAACCAACAAACATTATTGATTTTTTAATCTCCCACTTTTGAACTGACCGTGCGCAAAAGGTAGAGAGTAGCCACTAGGCTGGGCCGAAAAAGGCAAAAAAAAATTATTTTTTGAAATCTTACTTGGCATAGTAAAAAAAAGTTGTAAGGGGGGTAGACAGTTTAGTTGATTTTTTTTCAAAATTTAAAAAAATGTTTTAGCCTCGCCCCCGGGGGGCTACAAATTTTTTTTTTTCAAATTTAAATTTTGGATTTGGCATAGCAAAAAACTGATAGGTATCGGCTCACTTGCGACACAAAAAAAATCTGGTTAATATATTTTAATTTTTAGCCGCGCCCCTTGGCATTTTAAGTTTCAATATGCAGCTCTTTGCTTGAAAAAATGATGATATATCATATATGATTAAATCGCGCACCAAAATTATTTTATTTTATATCAATCATCATTTAGTCAACCCACAACTCACCACGGGGAGTTGCACCCTCCCTTCCATGCCTTATTATAATAATATACTTGTTTTTACTTTTCAACATTGTAGTATTGTTTTTTTATTATCGAACATGGGTAAATTTTTTCTTGCCTCTATTTTAACCCTTATAAAACCGTCTCTTGAAGAGTGACCACAAACTTTACTGGATGCTTCGGTTATAATCTTTACGCATCGCTCCACAGCTTGAGTGTGACTTGGTAATTTGCTAAAATTAATAAAAGATTTATTTTCAATTGCTGCTAACAAATCTTCGCTTTTGATATCAATTGTTAGTGGGGGCTCTGTAATACAACATTCACTCCAATCTATCATTTCGGTATAGTCTTTGGCATTCCAATTTAAAGGTGGTATTTTAAATATTCGTAATTTTTTTTCTGCTGGTTGTTTTTTAGTCTTTAATATGCGTCGTATACCAAGTTCCCTAATATGACTTCTCTCGTCAGCAATCATAGCTATCAGAATATTCTCGGGATGGGCGAAATACGCGTTAGTTGAAATTACTTTATCAATAATTGTTTTGACTCCTTTAGGAAGGCCCCTTGACTCACTAATGGTTTTCCATAAATGTACCGAACCATATTTAATTGAAGATTGCGTTTTTATATTGAACCACATAGGTGCGTACACTTTCATAATAAACTGCACTAAAAGAAGTAAGTTCTCAGAAGGACTGCAAGTGGCCACATACAAGCGCAGTATTCAGAAGCTATGTCGCAGGCAGTACCAAATATTGGAAAAGTGTCTGCTTTCCTAGTTTTAACTTTATCCATATTGTTTTTAAAATAGATAAACCAAAAAACAAAACACCACTTAGTCTTATTGCACTTATTATATAACTAAATTACACCTATTATATAGCTAAATTGTACTTAACTTAACTTAACTAAACTATAATTAAAGGAAAGTAATTATCTGTGCCCAAAGTACACTTATTTCACAACGCGTTAAAATTACACTGTATCATTCATTTATATCACTTGTTTCAGTGGAAGGCGCCACGCAATTTCCACATGGCAGCAATAAAAGGGTGGTATTTATTTAGGTAACCTCTTTTGTTTACAATAGCGGGCTCGGTTATACGATGTTTAGTAAATATTAAGATTTTTATTCATTTCTTTTTCGGCTATAAGTGAGTAGGAAATGATCTATTTTCTTATGACAAGACAAAAATATAGTATTTTAAAATATACCTGTTTTAAGGTCCCAGTGGCAAGGTTAAATATTAAAATGTTTTAATCATTTTGTTTTTATGTCGTAATTGAGTTGACCCTACCAATTTTTTGGTATGCCAAACTGTGGTATTAAAAAATTATTTTTCATCCCCAGTTAAACGTCATGGGGCGCGGCTGGAAATTAAAATATATTAACCAATTTTTGCGTGTGTCATAAGTAAGCTTATATCTATCAGTTTTATGCTATGCCAAATCCAAAATTTAAATTTGAAAAAAAAAAAATTTTTAGCCCCCCGGGGGCGAGGCTAAAACATGTTTTTAAATTTTGAAAAAAAATCAGCTAGGTTGTCTACCCATGTTACAACTTTTTTTTACTATGCCAAGTGAGATTTCTAAAAATAATTTTTTCGGCCCAGCCTAGTAGCCACCCTCCCCTTAAAAACGGGAACAAGGTCATCTATTCAAAATATAGGCAATAAGCGGTATATGTGTGGTAAGTATATGGCTTATATGGTAGGGCGTTCGCTTGTCATGCGAGAGGTCCCGGGTTGCGTATTGGCATTGTGTACTACGATACAGAGCCATAGTGTTCTGAATCGCAGTAAGGATTGACAAAATTAAACGCCACTAAGTACAATACAATCCATACTACGATTCAGCACATCTCCCAGTTTGTGATGTTCTGAATCATAGTAGAGAATGTTGAAGTGTTTGCGCGAATGCAGCAGGCCATACTTTACTGCGATTCAGAAAATATTGGCTATGTGCCGCACGCATAAAGTAATAAGCCAGAGTTATAGAATAGTTAGAAATTATCAATTAATAGTAGTAGTAATAGTAGTGAATAGTAGTGAAACATACCCAACCAAAAATCTCACTGACAATATTTATTTTTTATTATCGATTTTTCAAGTTAATTAACTTAAAGATCGTTTTACCCTAAAATTTTATTTGGCTTTATCATCGACAATCCTTAATAGATTTTTATAAGTATTTTAGTAGTTAATGCCCTCATGTTTTTATTTTTCTTTCTTAAATATAACAGAAAAAAGCAAAGGATTTTACATATTTAAAAAATAAAAAATATAACTTTAAATTATTATATCAAGTATAATCTAGATTATACTTGATATAATAATTTAAAGTTATATTTTTTATTTTTTAAATATGTAAAATCCTTTGCTTTTTTAGCTATGTATTTTTATTTGGTGTCTATTAAAGAAAACAACACAATACAAAATATAATATAATATAATACAATACAATACAATACAATACAATAAAATAAAATTTCTTATTTATGTATATTTTATGTTTATGTTTTTGCAAAATTAATAGTTTTATGTAAAAGTAGAAAAAAAAGCCTATTAACTATTTCAAATATTATTTAAATCCGTTGTGGTACGTTTATATCTGATACTTGCAAAATTTTTGGGTAAAACGATCTTTTTGTTAATAAGTTTGAAATGATTTTTTTCCTTTGGGTTAATGTATATTTATTATTAAAACTGCAGAGAGTACCTAGTTTGTTTTTATTAATATTTATTAATAAATAAATTCCAATTAAAAATAATAATTTGCTTTTTATTGATAAGGCGTGCAGCTAGCGTATTTGTAGGTAATCTATCCAACTACAATTCAAATTAGAATACTATTTTCTAAATCGTAGTAAAGTATGGCCTGCTGCGGTCGCGCATACCTAGTGTTGTCACTGAAAAAAAACACTCTTGTTTTTTTTCAAAAAAAAATGTTTTTTTTTTGAAAAAAAACAGAGGTCCTTGTTTTTTTTTCAAAAAAAATGTTTTTTTTCAAAGAAATGGTCAAAAATACTCAAATTATATTAAGTGACAGGATTTTCGAAATGTCACTGCTGAGGAAAGAATTTTTGGCACATTCTGTCACTAGAAGATTATTAAATACTAATTATAGTTTCTTACTTACCATTAGTAATATTCTTAAACAAATTGTTTAACGTTGTTGGCTTTCGCCCTGAGCCTTTTCTTTTCGGCATTTCTACCAACTATGCATCAACCTATAAAGCCGCAGGTCTTAACTCTTCTATTATAATACCGTATAGACTATACGATATGCTAAGTCAGCATTGCCGACAGCGAGGCGCCCTTTTACTATACGTGGGTGAGAATGAAAAAAAACAACTTTTGTTTTATTTCAGTGAAAAAAAACATGTTTTTTTTCACGTGTTTTTTTTCAACTGAAAAAAAACGTTTTTTTTTACAACACTACGCATACCCTACACCATTCTCTACTATGATTCAGAACATCACAAACTGGGATATGTGCTGAATCGTAGTATGGATTGTATTGTACTTAGTGGCGTTTAATTTTGTCAATCCTTACTGCGATTCAGAACACTATGGCTCTGTATCGTACAGTGGCGGCGCCAGCTTTTTCTTTCCAGTTGGGCGACACCCGGCTGAAAAGTTTGAATTGTGGGCAGCAAAAATATGTTTTAGGTATCTAGGTAATGTTTCAGATAATAGGTATAAATTGTATAATGTACCCACTAATTATAATTATAAATATTTTGCGGATTTGTGAATAAATGTGAAATACAAACTAAAACGAAAAAAAACACAAAAATTAAGTTTATTTTACACGGAAACGCATGAGATATATAACTATAACAGACACAGTCTAACGTTTAGGTCGATTAGGAAAGCGCTATTTTTCTATTATTATGTTTAATTGCAAAAGAATCTACAACTATCCCAAGCAGC